TGTACAAAATTGAACGAGGAGAATGCGCCAGAAGTAGTTGTTCTCTAATAAATTTAGATATTTATACAACGCTTCATGTCTATCTCTGCTAATGGTGGAACAAATAGAGTTATAAGTATATTGCTCTCGTCATCTTTCCTACCGGCTCTCAACAGTTTCTATAATTGAACTAGTAGCCTATATATAAGTGCTTCTATAAGTGAACAAAGTAGCCCCCTCTTTGCTCTAGTTATTGTTCTAATAGAACAAGTAGAATTATTGCCCTGCAGGACTCGCGAAGGGTCCTCCGAATAGCCGGAACAGGCTGTAAGGAGTTCCTGCAAGGATTATGCACTCAAGATATGGATGATGCTTTTTCTCCCATTTAGGTCAGGTAACCATCTTCTAGGTTGGTAACCATCCTCTGGGTTGGTGCTCCTTTTCTCCTAGGTACAGATGGAAGAGAAAAAACGGCATTCATACACGATGTGTATCGGTTTTCGACGGATGGAGAGCTGTGGCCAGCCTTGTTCTTGAACCCAAAAGGGCGAATACTCTGCGACGTCATCCTGCAGAGGGAAAGCGACGACTCCTTTCTCGTAGACGTGCATAGCCAAGTGGCTCCAAAGCTGCTATTATGACAAGAGAAGTGCCTGCTTCTTACCGGTTCCTCGCCCAATAAGTAAATGTGCCAGGCGTGTAGACAGTAGTACAACAACAAATAAGCAGTACTACTTTTCTACGGATGACAAAACTATTCCTACTAAAACCAACATCGGGAATACACACATGACACTCTCCCGCTTCATGCACGGCCCATGCATCGTATTCTTTTCAATCTTGAGCATCCTCCACGTGACTACTCTGTGCTGGACTATTAATGGTACTACTAGCATCCTCCACGTGACTACTCTGTGCTGGACTATTAATGGTACTACTAGCATCCTCCACGTGACTATTCAGCAGCAGCACACAGACACATACTACTACATATATTGATAACCCTGCATGCTGCGAGCGCGGTAGCTCTAATGTCAACCCTCCTGCGACGGCACCGACTACGGCTTCCTATATTGCTTGAAGATGTGACCAGGGATTTCGTTGTGCTTGTTAGCATACTTAAGTTAAGGCACAGAAAAACCCAACCCTTTACACAGCCCATTCTTCTCATTCCCCTTTTACACAAGGGGAATCCATACTGGGTTGCTGGCGTAAGGTTGGGTTTTTCTCTTCGCTAATTAAGGCTAGACTCCCCCTACTTCTATCTGGTGTGGATAAGGAGGCTTGTTCCGAGTCGTGAACTCGGAAAGTAGAAGTTTCCCAGAGAACGCTTTGAGCAAACGAACTCACTCTACCAGGGATAGTCAGGAGTGTCTAGCGTTAAGATACCCGACGCGAGTCTTGGAAGTACTGAGTGGCTAGAGGGCGTCCCACCGGACGTTGCGTCTCGCCTGAAGGCCAGCAGCGATCCACGAACCTCCCAGCTAGGGAGCCGCCTCATTGTGCCCCGTGATACTTACTGCCAAATAAAACCGGCTCAAGTTAAGGCTCCTCGAAGATACAATTCATTTCCAACGTTGATTCTCTTCTGTTTCCTTCTTAGGATTCGGATAGGATGGACGAGAGGGTAGAAATGAATTGTTTTGAGCTCTAATCAAGAAGAAGTGGCAAGCAGTGCAGAAGCCTGGTATGGGCTTTTTCTTAGGTACTGAAGATAACATCGACACTCTCAGCGAGCGGTCTGGAGGTATTTTCTGTTGCATCAGTAAATCTCATTTACTTCAGGAACAATGGGCTCTTCTTCAGTCACTCGCTTGATAAACTCTGAAGTAGAACCGTTACTGCACTCGCTTGAGAAACTCTGAAGGAACTCCTGTGTCAGGCCTCTGAGGAAACTCTGAAGAAGAAGGAACTCTATGTGTCAGGATTTCTTCACTTGCTTCTCCGAGTGCTCGCTTCTAATGTCCGCCACACAATCGGAGTCCCGGAAGGCCCAGCAGAGCTTGTGCCAGAAAAAGCGTTACCGCAGAAAGCAAATTTGGATTTTCTCAACTTCATTAATTTCGAGAAAGTTACGATGTTGTGATTTTTTCAAAGAGATGAGAGGCCTTTTCTTAATGAATCAATATGGAATGCCGTTATTTAGAGGGGGCAAATATCAGAATAAATCGCAGGATAAGCAGAATTCCGATTCCGCAATTCATCACTGTCTTGAGAACAAAACCTCTCTCATGCTGCCTTCTCATTCCGCACATCCTTGACCTGCAGTACTGAACTAGATTCATCTGCAAAAAATATTAATGTTCAAAAATCACAGACAACTCAGCGAGTTCTTGAACCAATTCAATATACTTCTAAGAGGCTAGTACATCATCTAAGTAACGCTGCTATACCGGACAAGAACTGACGATACGGACGCATCATCGAGGCAAGGTTCGTCGTAGACTTGGCATCTTTCGCCTGAACGAAAAAGATGACGCGACCACGCTGCTAAGAAAACATAACCTTCTACACATAACCAATGGCCCTACCCTATCACGCGGCATTTTAAAGTCACACTTTTCTTTCTCAAACAGTAACATAGATATTTGATATGACAAGAATTTATTTACGAATTACTCCATATTAGTGTCGTATGCAGTTTTCCGTAACCTAGGAGCACAGTGCAGCCTGAGAACCTTTCCTGTCCTAGCCTAACCTGAGAGCCTTTCCTGTCCTAGCTACTAGCTTCATAGGAAAAGTGGAGCAATAGCGATGGCACTCCTCGATTGACGATGGACGACGTGAGAATGGATAGCGACGAGCTGACAGACAGTTAAGAGCCACGCTTTTTGCACAGATGATTTTTCCACTAGATGACTTTCCAAGAAAAAACGCAATGCTTAAGGAACGTATGATATCATCGCAGGTGTTGTAAACATCTTGTAACGCAGCTTTACTACTTCTGCAGGGGCTCATTGTGCAGGATCTGAGCTAACCCATTTGATGAGCTCCTCTCTTGGGTCGAATAGATTCAAGTCATCAGAACGGTCACAGCAAGTCATCATTGAATAGATTCAAGTCATCAGTGAAGAGCACGGGAACGTAAAAAGCACTAAGCTCACGCCGCAGCTGACACTGGGCTCGAAACTCGCGTAGGGAATCTAGCACTTGCTGCTGTCTTATGAACTGAAATTTGCAGGTCCTCGGACTAGAATTGACAGCACATAGAACCAAAAATAATAGTAAATTCTTCGAATTACAACATCGTCTTGCATGATTGTCCCGCCCTTCTAGCACTTTCATGATCGGTGCAGGACGAAGGGATGCATTCGAGGTCGGACGCGGCGGCCTGCTTCCGTGTCGCACAAAAGGAAGCGTTCACCCTAGGGTCTCACGAATGGAGCCTCTTCACTCCTCCCTTTTTCTTCGATCAAACGCCTGACTGACTCCCTTCTTCTTCGATTCCGGTTAGCACATTTTCGAACCAGTTGAGAAGCGAGTCGTTGACATAGAACTACAAGAAGAGTCATAATGCGTTTCCAAACATGCTTTGTTCCTACACCCCTACATCAGAATAATGGCTAAATGATGCTCTCCTCTCTACTTTGGAATTATCTCTCGGTCGATCGCTGGTGGGGTGTCGGAGTGTTTTTGGGGTATTGGTGTTTCGTACTCCTCCCCCCGTGGTGGACCGAACATGATCTATCCGAGCGTCCGGGTGGGTCGTCGGTCTTCCCCCTCGACCAGTGTCCCTTGTGAGACAGGCGCGGTCGTATGGTATCCCTTGTGAGACCAAGTGTCGCGACGCCAAGTGTCGCATTAAATAATCGGAAGTTTGTCTAGGTACTCTCCTCTCTACTTTGGAATTATCTCTGAGGACGCCAATCATCATCCGAAATACTTCATCATCATCTTGCTGACAGTATCCGATACTGAGTATCGGAGGACTCTCCGAGACGCCATATTGATGGAGTAGCCCCGCGCCTGTTGGACGATTTGGGTTGGCTGGTTGGTTGGTTGGTTGGATCGTCATTCCAACCAACCAACCAGCCGGGAGGATTCGGTAGCAGTCCTGATTGGGTCAGGCAGTTATAGCGGGAGCGAGTTGCGCCCATCGCGTCCTCCTTCGTCCAGCCGCCCGGCTGGTTGGTTGGTTGGTAGGTTGGCTGGATCGGAGGACTCTCCGAGACGCCATATTGATGACGCTCCTCTCGCTTGACACCTACAAGCTCACCCTAACGGGAAGAGCAACTCTACTAGTGATCCGGCCAATGATCACCGACTACAAGACAAAAGCGGCTCGCGCGTTGTACTTCTAAGAATGAGTTGTGGTCCCGTAATGTTAAATGACATACTTATCAAGTAATCAGATGATCTTCACACCAAATATTAATACTCGGCGAGGACTAGAGCTTTTTCAATTTCAGAGGTTTGTGGAGCGAAGCTCAATTTCAGAGGTTTGTGGAGCGCAGCCCTCAAACTGAGAGTGCTGAGTTGTGGTCCCGTAATGTTAAAATTCAAAAAAAAGGTACGGATCACGGAGGATCATTTACACGTTGAGAATGGCCCTACAGCTCCCTGATCCACATCGAGTTTACGTATAGATAAGCGAAACAACGTCTAGATCGACATCGACTATAGTATAAACGTCTCTTGTTCAAAAGTGCAAGTGGTCCTCTCAATTTTTGTATGCATTGTTTAGTATGGACGTCTCTTGTTCAAAAGTGCAAGTCAGTGGTCCTCTCAATTTTTGTATGCATTGTTTCTGATCTTTACTATAGTATGGACGTCTCTTGTTCAAAAGTGCAAGTGGTCCTCTCAATTTTTGTATGCATTGTTTCTGATCTTTATCAGTCAGGCCCATTCCTTGTAGATGTAGAAGCTTTATCAGTCAGGCCCATGATTCCTTGTAGATGTAGAAGCCAGTAGGATTTGTAGTTTTGTATATGTGTCAGGATTCAAACAATATGCACGATAACCATTTTTGGATGTCCTACATTATATGATGTTTCCTACATTATATTCTGTGGAGGTAGAGGGAAGAAGTCATAATGAGTGCAGCGCTACGAGAGCAAGCGGGCGTGTGGACGCCCCCTGCCCCGTGCAAGACAACAAGTTGGACAAGAACTTCGACAAGAACTGGCGAAGGAGAAGAAGGACGAGGAGACCAGCCATTGCGGAAGTATCCCTGTATTCTTATGAACAATTTGGACTAGATAAACTAAGGGGGCATCACTAAGTTTATTGATGATGTTTGTCGATTCGGAAGATTGGTGGACCCACTGAGTTTATTACTTTACATCTGATAGCTCTCGTCGCAAATTGCCTAGTACATGAAAATACCTTTTTGCGAGTATCTAGGATTCATTCATTCATTCATTCATTCATTCACTCATAAGCATCGGCTCATCTATTCTGATTGACTGCTAGGACACATACTTAGTACTGCTGTGCCCATGTGTCCTTCATAGTCTTACAGATTCTGAGCATGATCTGGATTTATGGTCTTAGACTCATCTTCTAATACCAAGAGAGTTCTGGAAAGACGCGGCGTCGACCTGCGTCAGAAACTACTGAGTAGAGGCGTGACGGAACAGGTTTCATCCTCTCAACAGGAAACCTTGCCTGACCTGAGGGCACTAGCGGGAGAGGCTCATCGTCAAGATCACCAGGATGCTGAGAAGCGACTCGCTCTTGCTGAGGAGCGACTCGCGGAAATTGCACGCTTCTTCTTTGCTCGGCGTCTACAGACATTTTTGCAGAAAAGAAGGCAAGAAGAGGAGGACCCGCGGCAAGCAGAAGAAGACAATTCGAGGTCGTTGCCCACGACATCTTCTGATGCTTCTACGTCAACATGTCTCCTCGTGGAGGGCGACAATTCGAGGTCGTTGCCCACGACATCTTCTGATGCTTCTACGTCAACATGTCTCCTCGTGGAGGGCGACAATTCGAGGTCGTTGCCCACGACATCTTCTGATGCTTCTACGTCAACATGTTTCCTCGTGGAGGGCGACAATTCGAGGTCGTTGCCCACGACATCTTCTGATGCTTCCACATGTCTCCTCGTGGAGGGCGACAACTCGAAGTTGCCCACGACATCTTCTGATGCTTCCACATTTCTCCTCGTAGACGACTTCTACTTCACCGTTGAGGGCGACTGGCTTACCGCAGACGATGGGGATGGTTTCGTGCGATTCCACATTGAGGACTGCGATCTCCCGGTCCTCTACAGTCACTTGCGGTACCTCTGCGACGATCTAGGGATCCCTATGGTTCTCCTAGCCAAGCAACCAGAACGCTACCACGTCTTTCTGGATGTGGACATCTGGGAACAGCAGTCTCGCGAGCGTGGTCACCTGGGCGGACGAGAGGAGAAGAGCAGTTGTAAGAGAGGACCTCCAAGGCTCGCACACCAGAACCCAACATGGTCAACAGGAGAGCATGAGAAAAGTTTTTTCCGGCTTGTGACGCAAGCACTGAGCAGTGCTCTTTCACAAGAGGACCACTTGCCTGCTCAGCAGAGCGGCCCTCTCTATGGAGACGCAGCTGATCTGTTCATTTTTGCCAGCCATGGCCCTACTGGAGTAAAGAGCAATAAGAAGGACCGCGAGCACTACTGGAAAAGAGAGGGAAAAGAGGGGGTGCTAGATAACTGGCACAAGTGGAGCTACCACATCGTTTGTCCGCAACTTATTGTTGACCGTCCGACTAATTGCGTCCCCGCAAATCATGACAACTACCACGAAGACAACGCGCAGGAAGGGCTGAAACGTTATTACGCTTTCTACTACCTCTTTGTAAATTTTTTTTTTTGTTGATCCATTCGGATTTCGAAGTACGTCGGATTTCGTTCGAGTTGAGAGCTGATATCTCGCTCGAAAAGGACTCTCTAGTAGTACAATTTTGCAGTAGATAGTACTCGACTACTGTCTCCTAGAATACTTGTTGAACTTAGAATACTCTGTAGTATTAGATATTGTTCCTGCACAACTAGAAAGATGCAACAAACTAGTTGTTGTATTGCCTCTAAGAATTTCTTGATGAAGCTGACAATCTGGAGACGAAGATGAGCCAGCACGAAGCGTTGCAGAGGACTATTAAGGACTTCTTTTTCCACTTGGAGGACAACTTCGATCCCGAAGTTCTGCAGCTGGGCAAAATTCTACGACGGGAGATGCTACGACCACCTCAAAAATGGAAGAAGAAAGGTCGCAGGAAAAGGCGGAGCACCAGTGAAGCACCTTCTACATCTTGTTTATCCACTATTCAGCACCGTGTAGATGTACAACGAGACGAACCATCAGCAAAGCAACACTTTATACGCATCGATCATGCTTCTGCTCCGGTTGGTGTGGACGAGCCCAGAAATGAAGGCTTTTCCTCGCGAACGAGCTCAACTTCATCATCGACTCCTCTCAAAAACCTGTTAATGCACGACCGGAGGGAGACGGAGGCCAACTTGGAGGGCACAGAGATAAAGCATCAGCTTCGAGAGGAGCAAGGTAAGAAAACTTCTAGACGACGGAGACGGCGTCATAATTTTGAGGAGGACTGCTCCTCCGACGCCGACACTTCAGATGACCAGGACGACGTTCTGGAGGGCCAGGATGATGCTCTCGAAAATGATGCAGACGGAACAGAGGAAAGGGATGCTGACGTACACCAGGGATACGAGGAAGTGGAAGCTAGTATAGTTTCACCCGGTGCCGTAGTTTCACAAGATGCTCCACTTTCCTCAGGTGCTCCAATTTCCTCAGGTGCTCCAATTTCACGACCAGAAGAAGATGCTCCTCCTGCTAATTATCTAGTCTCATCTATTTGTTCATATCGTGACGAAGATGAAGACCCCGAATCAGAAGTAGATGCTGATCGGGTAGTCTCATCAGGAGACGAAGAAGACCATGGCTCAGAAGACTTCGAGTCACAAGATCAGGTTAATAATTGGTCTGAGCTGTTTGATGACAATCCCATTTGGCATGAGCCCTTCCCTTCCGGAACGGGGATGCGACTAGCGTACACCTGCAAGAGACCCGATGATGGGACTGAGGAGGTGGGACCTCCTTGTTCCGACGAAGACGAGGACAGCACAACTTCAGGCCACGACCTTGATGATGGGACCACGACATGGACGCAAAATGATTTTCGGTCGTCCCGAAACGTGCAAAGAGTCAAGCTGCCGTATCTACGGATTCGGTTTTGTACAGAGACTGGGCGCCATCTGTCCTGGGAGCCTGTCGCATCTGGGACGATCAACAGGGCATCATCCCCAGAAGCTGACTTTTGCCGCAAAAAGATGGAGAAGAGCAACAAGAGCCTTGATGATGACGCGCATGAAGCTTCGACGACAAGTTCGTTTGAGGAGACGTTGGACCAAGTACTAGATGAGAATTCTTCCAGTAGCACCGCTTTTGCTGTCAGTGGTAAACTGAAGGATCGCTCACAAGAAGCAGAAGACGGCTTAGTCTGGGAGATTCTGGGCAACATCCGCGATACGCGACTCGCAAAGGCAATGCTGTCTGAGCAGCAAAAGGAACTGGTGCGTAATAAAGGTTCACTCCTAGAAGAGCAAGGTGGCGTCCAGAAAAAGCGCGACATCCAGAGACCGCTGGAGCTGGCTCAGCGACATCTCTCGCGAATTCGGCCCTTTCAAGTGCGCTCCGGACTTTTCCCCCCAGAGGAATGCTGCGGCTGTCGCATGTGCTGGAAAGATGAGGCCAGTGTAAAACGCTTCGAGGAATTCTATCTCGATGAATATTACTATCAATGAACAGCGAACCAGAACGCGAGACGACAAAGCCTAGTACTGGAGTGCTGGCAGTCTCAACATCTGCCTCGCTTTACACGACTCTCGTCCACGATGGTAGGGCTATCATACCAGCGCTAGCTTCCTGCGTAGTGCAGCTCTCATGGATAGTGGAACTTCTATCGGATTTTTTCCGTGCCTCCTACACTTCTGGCTCTAAATCAATCACTGCGGTCGTAGCATTGTGAGGACTATCCAATTATCCCCTCATTCTAAGAAAGTTGTATTGAAATATTCACAGCTCGTCATGACTCATGAGTTTTTTCCCGTCGATCCCCGTCTATGACGAACTTTGATTCTACAACAGATAAGAACGTAGATATTTCTTATATTGTTTCACTCGGCTGTGGGTGATGTGCGTCAACGACTACAACTGCTACACCTACGATTGACTCGACGCACTGGAATAGATTCGACACGAACAACACAGACATCCTCCAAGACCCCTCGAACAAAAAGGAAATGGAAACATGATCTAAGACACCTCACCACACCAGCGACTCTAAACCCTTTATAAATCCCTCACCAGCGACACTTCTAAGCCCTTGCTAATCCTAATATGGTCCCTCACTCAAAACTTGTATGCCGACGCCTCTATGAGGTAATTCATGACTTAGACCTTCCCTTCTAGTTCTACGCAGATGCCTCTTCTCCGTCTTCCGACAACCTCTACGTCTTCGATGACTCATTTAGCCTCGTGTTCAGAATGACGCAAGCGCATTTCTTGCGAGTATCCACATCATCCTTGTCTTCATGGTCATCATCATCACTTATGTTATCTGTGCCTCAAATCATGAGAGAGAACAATGCGAAAGTAGCCACATTTCTGTGTTCACCACTAAAACTAATGGTTGTTCTTTCTATGCATTGTCCCTTACGACTAGGTTGATTACTACTACTGCTGCACCTGCTACTATTTCTACGGAGTGATGGTTTCTACTACTACTTGTGAGTGATGAGAGCGCTCGTGAGGTAAGCCTTGCCAGGACGTCAAATTCCAAGTGTCATCTTCTGTCGAGGGCCACCAGATTCGGTTGCGAGGACGTAGAAAAGGAGGCAACCGCGAGTCGTCAAGAGAGACAGATCCTCTTTCAGGTGTGCGCTATCACTTATCCCTGCCCCCCTGCCTCCAAATTGTTCTATTAACCAAGCCTCACTGTTGAGGCAACGAGAACGAGAACGGAGAAAAAATTGTAATTGTAGAAATATTCCTACTTTACTCACACTCACACTGCGTAGTTATATTGACAGCCGCGAAGATACCTTAAATTCTACTTTGAATCATGTTAAAGAACGTTGCAGACACAGCCTAGTAGAACGAGACGGCATGAATTTATTTGGGTACTCATCTATTATTTACAGGTGCAACAACAGCGAGAGATGAGAAACGAGATGTTACCTGGATAACGTATAACTAAGTATCTATACGTAGAAACAGAGTGAAAATAGACTTCAGAAATAGAGACGAAGACATCTTCGCCATCTCATCACGAACCCACCAGGATGTTGAACACTAAGGATGAATATTTCCAGGTTTTGCCCACAATTTCGACGAATATTTATCCGAGAATATAATGAACAAAATCTAGTCATCAATCTCGTTATTTGTAGCTTTGTTCATTTCTTTGGCTATTTGGTTACATTATGGAATTTATGGTTATACATACCGTACTTCCTAGTAGATTCAAACAACTCGTGTAGATTATCGGTCTAGTTCTCAAGCATCTTCAAATCGTGGATGACATCTTCAAATCGTGGATGACATCTTCAAATCGTGGATGACAGCTCCTATAGCTCATCTCAGCTCACAATCGAACACATATCATCAACACTAAGTGGATTGATCTGTCGTTGTTGCTTTTTCACTTAGACTTCTCACTACCGCGGTGAGTGTGATGTGTTGATCTGTCTTTACTTTTTCGCTGACTTCTACAACTAGCGCAGTGCTGTGTGTTTCTGCTCATTGAGAAGACGCCTCTTTATAGTTCATGGCTCATGGTTGCGTCCTCTGACAGGAGCTTCTATTGTAGTGGTCGAACAGATCCGCATTAGACCCCTCGGGTGCACTCTGGCATCCTGACTCGATCAAGACCTTGAGCTTGAACTTGGATAGCTCTTGGATTTTTGTGGTGAAAGCCGGTGGATGAATCCTGGAAATACCGCCGGACTCCACCCGCCGCCGGTTTGCGAACTGGATAAAGCTGAGGCCGCTCCTTCAGTAGCCCCGGGATACAAAAAAAAATAGCTGGAGTGAGGCCCCTTGATGAAATCTGAAATCTGAGTCCATAGGGGCAACATTGGGGACGGCCTCGAGCGCAATGAAAAATTGGAGATTTCTAGTAATTGGCATTTATTTGATATTTGCTACGACCTAGGCAAATCGCGGCTGAAGATCCTGCACTTTGTCATTGTGTCTAGTTTCGGACCGCTGCGGACCTAGAGGACAAAAATCCCTGATCGACAAGGCTAGTTCTGTCCCTGATAGACAAGGCTAGTGCTGTACCTTCGTGTTGTGAAGTGCCGTTTTGTTACGAATCGATCACGCTACATGTCACGGCAAGGACAGGTGGAAGCGTTCGAACAACAAGATCGCGGACGAGTCGCTCCTTTTCTACAAAAACTTGAATTCTAGAACAACAACCTGTACGGTTATTCAAAGGTCGAGACCTTCGACAACAAAGAACCTGCACAAGAAGGCCTCCGCGTGGTCGTGCTACATCAATCTCTCAAGATGTCGGCAGCGCCTGATATCTTAAAGCTTGATGTCGTAAAGCCTACATCACATAATCCTACACATTCGCACACGCTCCTTCGAGTGGATGGAGCAGGACCGTCATCACTCTCTTACTCGCTTTGCCGAGTGGAAGGCTCTGGGCCCTTACGAGGCGCACAGAGGGAAGAGGAATGTGACAAGCTAGGCAGCCAGATTCTGCGATGGATAGGATTAAGGCTATAGATATAGTTCATCTTTTTCTGCGTCCGTGATATCATTTGGCTTGTCCTCGGCATCATGTGCTGTTGATTTCCTCTTAACATCCCTCGAGATCCTTTCAGGCACTGATTCGTCTTGACGATGGTACAGAGTGACCATTTGAGACGCAATGATGATGCAGAAACTCAGAACGGCGCAGTATTTCCCTGCGATACTCTTCAGCCATGCAGCTGTGAAAGTCTTCTTTTTCTGCGTCCGTGATATCATTTGGCTTGTCCTCTGCAGCTGTGAAAGATGGACTAAATAGATAGCTCTAATCCGAACGAAACCGACGCCGCGCCCAACGGGGATCTATACTGCCCATGAAAAGTCAGCTTTGCTTCAGCAAGAATATGCGGACTTTCTGTTACGATACAGCCCTACATCAGATCATAGCACTGTACATATAAGATAGCACTATATCAGATCATAGCACTACATATAAGATATTACTACATCAGATCATAGCACTACATATATATAAGATAGCACTATGTATATATAAGATAGCACTATGTATATCAGATAGCACTGCAAACCAATATCCTACTGCATGAAGAAGATTCCAGCACCTGTATCTTTTGAGCTCACCTTAGAATTCCAGAATACAAAGTAGGAAGCACTCTAAATTTTGAACATTTTGAGTGCTTCCTACTTTATACCATTGGAGAAGCTTCTCGTAACTAGGTGTCTACATAGAACTTCTCCTCGAAACATTGAAGTAAAAGCAATTCAGTTTGCGACTATTCGCTTTCAAGTAACTAAGAGCCATCTTAGGTCACTTTACTCGGTCACTTCAGTTTTTTGAACTCTTCCTGTAACTAAACTTTTGCCAGATACTCATGAGTAAAGATGAACCACTTCGCTATCCCTTGTGTCTCCATAGTCTCTTCTAAGAAGCGTGCGTTGCGCAGAGCACGATGCAGATTTGAACTTTCTGAAGAAAACGAACCGAAGCGAAGCTGTGAAGCTATATTCCACACCCTTGGGGTGTTGGTATCTTCGGCACAGGCAGCCTAGCAGAGAGGACCACCAAGACATTCTCAGGATTAAGGCTTTTTTCGAACTGGAATGCAAAAGCAATTCTGTAGTTTTTCAGAAAATTTGCTAATTCTGTCTCCGACATAATTTATTCTCATGCAACCCGAAACCTGAATTCTGTCGTTGATAACTTCTACTTTACTATGTATAAGTGGAGGCGCCTTCTACAACTTTTTAAGTACCTGTTAAAACATAACTTTGGCGCTCTGGTGCTTGGACAAGTGCCTTCGTGTCAATTTCGTGTGTAAAATCCTAAGTTGTAAAAGTAATCTCATGATCCTACCTCTAACATGCGCAGAGGCTTACACAGTGGACACAGGTACTAGTCTACTACATGGAAATTGACACATTAGTGCTAGTAGTGGTAGCATCTTGAGTCGACCCGCCAAGGGGTGTTTGGGTGTAGAACTGCAGTTAAGGCTCAGCTTTCAATGGTCATTGGGGTTGGTCACTGGCGACCCCTTGAGAGAACAGGGGAAAACGAACGGAAAGGGGAGCGCTTTGAAGGGGGTCCCTTCCGTTCAGAGTCAGTGACCATTGAAGGCTGAGCTTTAATGCAGATCGTACATCATATTCCTCTCGAGCCGGCCAATGCCTAATCCTGTCCGCTTGTCTAAATGGATGCAGAGTTTGTTAACTCCTGTCCCCGTAAAATGACACACTTCTGGAACTGTTTTGTCCCGCCATTAGGCTAGCAGTACTAAGTGGGACACCATGACGATTTTGAAAAATGTTGACTCTCTGTTTGTCAATTTTGGTCAACTACGTGAGTTGCAGGTTGAGGAATGTCTCAACCAACGAACTTGTCACAACCAACTCATTAGTTGAGGAATGGCACTAATGTCTATCCTGACTTGTTCGATACAGCAATTCCATCTAAATCAATTACCCTACAGTGTCGGCGTTTGGTACCCGCCTCAACCTCATCACGGCAAAGTCGTTGGCAAGCGATTTTCCGATGATATCGAACGGAGATACTTATGAGTAGTTGATAGTTGCCCCATCCGTATATTATAAACTATACGTATACTGTAAAATAAACCATCCATTTCTTATACTATAAAAACCGATATTAAAATTAATATATATTGCTTAGGAGTCTCCATAGTACAGGAGTTAGTTGTACAATCCGTGTAAAGCAACGCGGATATTGCCTAAACCACATGTCCTGTTTCCTAAACCTAACCGGGTATTGCCTCCTCTCATGATTCATCGTAGTGTCTATGTGTTCTTGCCTTCATGAAATTAAAGGCTTAGCATAATTCCTAATTGACTACAACCATCAACAGTAGTATGTATGACTACTAGAAGATGTTAGGACAATCTAGACGTTGTCTGTGACATGACGTATAAGCCATCTAGTTTATTCCGACACAACAAATATAGCCTTACGACCTTTTGTCAGGCATGTCAAGTACTCAATCGAATCTCCGCAATAGAATCAATCAATTTCCTCGGCAGACGAGAGGTAAGCATCAAACTGGGTAGCCTATAATGAAGATCGCCAGGAACACCACCTTACCCCATGCGTAGAAAGCAGTAGTATATGAAATCTCAAGTCCGTCGAACATCTAGTTCTTCTCAAAATTTTATTCAGCCGTACTCTAAGAAAGAAGCCGAAGAGGGTTGCTGCTCCGAAGCTTGAGATAGGCAAGCACACGCCGAATGTCATTGCCTTTTCGCCTCCGCGAAAGCCTCCAGCTCAGGTACCTTCTAAATCTGTAGACGCACGTGACTGAGGTAACTACAAATATATCCGACTATGATTACATAGGAACATGAGGTGACAAGATTTCCCACTACAATTTTTACCGCATATTGCTTAAATCAATCATGGCCCTATGTCAAAAAGCCTCTTTCACTCTCATCTTGTTGTATCGTCCTGTCTTGAAATAGTGTTCCTCATTACAAAGTACCTTAATGCACTGGGTTCCTCTTGGTCTAAAACTGATTGCATCCTGTCTTGAAAGTGAAAGAGGATTCACATTCAGGCTGAGTACATCGTGCACTGGGCCCCCCCTGCATGGCGATGGTATCCCTGTTGAATCTCAATCTTCTTCATTAGACTCGTGAAATTATTTTTTTCAGCGTCAGAGACCATTGAAAGTTGAGGTTTACTATTAATGCCTGAGTGCACGCACCACATGAAACAATAGGAATGCAACCTAGGACAAATTTCTTTCTGATAGGAATAGAACCATGACACAATATGCTTTCATCCACAGAGCGCTTTTGCTTAAGGCCCTTGTCAACAGCAACCAATTAAATCACATCAATCAATCAATCAATCAATCAATCAATCAATCATGACACAATAGGAATAGAACTTCTTTCTGATTCTGCCAGGACTTTTCGATGCCACCGAGTCGTGCACGCGCGCAGAGCCTTGCATATCCGTCCATGATGGATCCACAGAAGAGGAGCGCTTTTGCTTAAGGCCCTTGTCAACAGCAACTAATTCGACCCACATCAATCAATCAAAAACAAACTCAATCAATCTATCAATCTTCATCTTGATGATCCGTTGGCCTGGACCAAATGTGCCACGACTAAACCACATTTGCCAGAATTGTTTCACTACTATCCCTTGTCTGTTGGTTCAATTTTCCCTTCTTGCAGTATGATATCATCAATTATCAAGGACCAAAAACTCAGGGAGAACTGTCATACATCACACTCCTTTGGGTGATGCTTACTACAGTCTAGTCTTCCTCTCTCGTCTCTCGTCTCTTCTCCATAAGACTAGCTACATATAGATACATTTGCCAACATTATTTCGGATAAGCGAAGAGTCCAACGCCGAAAGCACTGATCAAACTGCGCAGGTGGTGCTTCAGTGGCTTAGGCGTTGCCCTATTCACTTATCACCTTCTTCAGTTTTCCCGAGACAGAGCAGTTTTCCCGAGACCAGTCCTCGACTCTCCTGTCCGAGAGTAGTCTTCTATTCTCTTCATCCAGCTTTCGGATCATCACGAAATAGTAGGCCAAATTGGGAATTTAGCTCTAATAAACTTTTGGGGGTGTTGACTTTTTGTCTCGCGAGGATACTGGTTTTTCTGAGCACAGGGATCAATTTGACGACATCATCCGAAAGTTACACGACGCTGCGTTTGTGGCAAGCGGCTGACGCTTGAGACGTATCGCTGACGCTTGAGACGTTGGACAGCATACTTCTTTACCTGATATGGATAGAACTGGGAACATGCAGGCGTATCCCTGGCAGAACTGGGATGATTAAAAGCACATCATACTTCTTTACCTGATAGAACTGGGAACATGCAGGCGTATCCCTAGCAGAACTGGGATGATTAAGCACATCATACTTCTTTACCTGAATCTGAAACTTCCCGGATGGTTGTTAACAGCTCACTTCTTTACCTGACACCAGAGCTGATATTGATGAGGGTCATGATTAACAGGGTCCGTCCTGATTCTATTCGAAGCTAGTAGTTTTTCCGAGTCGGGCGGCGCCGTCGTGAATTGTTTTTGAGTTATATTAGGGACCCCACCTTGCTGCCATGCTGCTACACCTCGAGAGCTCACGACCTTCAAATGTAATTGACATTTCCTTTCCAGAGTTATTGACACATCTCCTTTCCCCCGTCATGGAGTTATCATCGTGTTTTTGTGGTGTTTTCAACTGTTCTCGTGCTTTGGTTCGAACAGTCATGGAGATATCGTGTTTACAAGATATTGGTTTACAAGTTTGGCTCTCTTGGGATACCAGCAAGCAAATTATTCTAGCCGCCAAGAAATCGTGCATTATTGGTCTACAAACGCATTGGCAGTCGTCGGTACACATGCGATAAGTCGCCACTGCTATTGCTATAATGGTGAACTTGATATTGATGGTGAAGTGTATCGTGCGAATTCATTCATGGCTATTGCTATAATGAACTCGATACAACTAAAATCTGGATGCCACAATCTGCATATCCGCGCGCGGATTTCGCTTTAGAAGGTTGCTTTTGAAACTTTTGAATGAACTCAAGTGCGATTGAGTCAATGAGTATGGTGGCTGTGAAGGTATCTATAAGATCACTCACCAAATGAAAATAAGTATGTGATCTTTTTGACCGAGATCCCATGAAGTTCGCGATCCGGACAAAGTGAACCATTTCCATCCGAGTCAACATTACAGTACTAAGAACATGCAAACCAACAGCAAACTGCTCATGTGTGACGCTTCCCAATTATCATCGCAAGCCTTGAGTCTAGTGCAAGACAAACGTGAACACCTTCGCTCTGGCATTGTTATACCCGGGAGCTATTTGATTTGTTCGCGACCCTTTCGGTCAATCTTGAAAAAGGGCCTCCGGAATCAGTAAAACACGCATGACGACAAAGACACAAACGTGGCCATCCTACGTAAGGGATACTCTATGAGCACTGACACGTCATACTATCGTGTGAAAAACAGCTTGAACCTTGTATGTGCCAGAAAAGCATGAGGCAATGTGTTTCAACATGAGACAGAAAAACGACGAGAGATGTTGGATTTCTAAAAAATGACGAGAAGTGCTGTATTTCTAAAAAACGACAACGAGTGCGGTATTGTTAAAAAAACGATGACGAGAGACGCATTGCTAAAAAACGAGAGCCCTAACGTGCTTAAGTTGATTCCTCCAAAAACACTAAGTACTTAAAAAAAAACAGAGGAAAATGTAGTGTGCATGCAAATGCGAAAGTAAGTATGAACGGCTCGTGATTAGAGTCGGCTAAAGTCTAAGACTGCAACGTTGCTAGTATTGATTTTTCGTAGTACAACAACAGCTCCTAAGCAAATTTTTCTTCTATCTAAGTATATTGCTTGCCGGTTGTGCTTGATGTACCTATTGTATAGATGAGCGATCTAAATCCTTTAGCTACGATATTTGTTCCAGGGCTCGGGGGAGCGTGGATCCCCGGACCCCTTTTGGAGGCGTCTGCCGGGGGTGGCAGGCTTCCAAAGGGGTCCAAGGGACCTCCTCCGCCGCCTTCCAGCTGCCTCCGTGTACCCTACAGGCCCTCAACGTGCTGGCCCCTCGCCGCAGCAGCAGTGTGCCGGGCGTGGAAGGCCTCCGAAGGCGGCAAAAGGCGCAAGGCTGAACCCCCCGAGCCGTGTGGCCTGTACCCTCCGGGCCCTTGGTCTTCGGCTTGCTGGCTTTTGCCGCGCATTTGCTGAGGGCAGCCCAGCAAAAGGGGCCAGGCCTCGAGACCGTGGCCGCCTTCGGCGGCCTTCTACCGCGGAGACCTCCAGCCCGCGAGGGTCGGCAGAGGCCGGGACGCCTGTGGGGAACATGCAGATGCGCTCTCAGTTTTGACGCCTTCCCCCCCCGAGAATCCGCGAAAAGCAGCGCGGAAAGGAGCGCCACCACAGGGCCATCCACAGGAGGAGGGGGCGTGCGTCCCTGTATCATATATGTAGGCGCTCGGGCTAAAGACTAAAGGCGCTGGCTTTGTGGCCTACTTATCTATGACAGGACTTCACTTAAGTCACAGACGAGTAGGCGCTCTAATTTATAAATAATTATACCGTACTTTATGGAGGGACAGGGAGTACTTGCTTTGATAAAGTCTTTCCTCCATAAACGTTGTTGTCCTTGTTTTTTTGGATCTTGGTGAGCCATCAAGATGAGGCAGAAGAGAGAAACTCTGGTAAGTGAGCAGGCCTACACGACCTAAACCATGCCGAAGCAGTTGGCTTCGCGGTTGAGGCCTACTAGGCCTGCTCACTTATCCTCATACTTCAAACAGCAGAAGTAGCACAGATACTAAAGGCAGGCCAATGCCATACGCGCGTGAAATACCCATTAGGAAAAGAAGAGCAAGGACGCCCAATAAGACGAGAAAGCCTGCCTGCTCGAACCTGTCGGGCCGTGACAACCAGAGGACTAACCTACAGTCTTGCTCGGTAGAATTCATCGGTAGAATATTCGAACTTCGTCTTCGTCTTCGTCAACCCACCTTGGCAAAGACCTCCCTGACAGTCCTTATCCCTGATCACAACCTCACGAAGCGGTTGGTAACACCAATTCATGTAAAAAGTGCAACCTGTAGAACCTAAAATACTAAGGAACAAAACACCCGTTTTTTTCGATATCATTAATAATTCGATATGCTTAACTTGGAAATATTTTCATCTAGACGACCATAGAACATGTTGATACTTCAATCATACTAACTCACGCCCACTCCTCAGCACTCACCCAACATGATATACTCACGGCATATCGTAATGAACTCGCAATCATCCTCCTACGAATCGTAATGATAATGATAATCTTGCTACCATGAAACAACCTTTGTAGAAATATTGAAGAAGTTTCAGTTTGAAGTATTACAGTTTGAGACTTTCATCGACAATTAGCAATACATAGGAAGAAAGATGCCGCGTAAAGCTGAGAGGCTTAGGCGGGCAGCTGCCCGAAACGGGGCCTCCCAACCCTCAGCATCGCACCAAGGCGCAAGTTCACATATTCTGCCGGATCTTACGGGTGTTAGCGCAAGTAGTAGTCAGACGCAGAACACAGTGTTAGCTGAAGCAGGCACGGGCCCTGCCGCACCGAGTAGTTTCGTTAGTAGCTCACTTACAGAACTACCCAGCAGTCGTTGCCACGTCCATGCATCGGAGAGAGCAGGCAGTCTGAGTGGGGTTTGTGCCTTCAAAACACCAGGGGAGATGCTGTTCATGATCCACAAGCGAGTAGGCGTTTCTGGGCAGACAGGTGAAAACGGGGAGATGGAAGTACGTGGAAAGCCCATGCATGTGCCGCCGTTTAACGAAGATGTGCCCAAGACTGCCTTAAATACTATGAAGACCTCGTTCGCGAGGTTTTGGAAAAACACCTACGAGACAAATTGGGCGAGACCCTCAGAACAAGCATTACGGCCAGAGGCAATTCATCTTTGAGGGCATCCCTGAAAAGTGTGGCCGAGTATTCTAATCGTGACACAGTTCAAGGATGCACATCAACGATGAACATCGGACACTCCTAATACTAGAAATCAAACAGGCGGACGTCGCGCAGTGTTTCGCGCTGCAGAAGCCGGATGTTATGGAATCACTCTAAGTAGTTGGCTCAGCTTTTGAAGCTCCATACTTTCTAACGAATGAAGTAGTCCAGGATATCAAGGATGAAAAGTATACAGTCTGTGTGTTCATATCAGCAGGGAGAACGGCTCTAATCCACACTTCGTGTATAGCAAGGTTTCTTCCGGCCCCTCAAAAATGGTGCAGTTTTTCGAGAAGTTGTTGCGAAATGACGAGAAGAAAGTAGATCGGACTTCTGCCCGTTCATGCCAACCGTTTGACGGCAGTCGCAAGAATACATCCTGTTAAGCTGTCTTGGTAGGGTTCCGTCATCTGGAAGAGGATCTTCTTGTAAAAGTTCTCACCAAGGAGGTACTCTTCCATCAATATACTCACCATCGGCGAATACAAAGCCGGACCCTAGGGTTACATGCTCTAAAGTTAAGGCGGGTACTTGGTTTTCATTTTGCTGAGTAAACGACCATGCCAGGTGATATTATCCCTTACCCAGAATGAAGGAAACGCCAGGGCATTCACTTGCGTCAGCATAATGAATGATGAAGCTATCTTTAAGCAAGTTCTTACGTTTTTCGTCGTGGCACTGCAAATGCCGTGGGCATGGGCAATCAGTTAAGAGTTTTCAATTTCTCGTCTAAATGAGGGCATCACCATTGGATCTTCAAAGTGCCAAACAAGAGATTCCATGACACACATGACAAGTCTTTAAATGTTTCACAAAACAATCGCCTCCGTGCGAGACAATCACATACTAAGCCTCCCTAGACATTCGGATGCTTCGTTGATATTCACTATGCAAAAACCTCGGTCAACAAGGGATAACTATATCAAATGCTCTACCTCTTCTAACTTTAACGCCAGACGGCTACAACGAGTACTACCTTTACTTGTCGAAGGTGCCGGACAGAACAAAGACCGTCGCGCTTGAAACAAGGGTAACGAGCTGGGAGGAAGATGTCTCTCTTGTGGGTAAAATTCGGGTACCACAGATATCAGCAGACTTTGAGGTAGCAGACCACGTTAAGAACATCGAAGTCATTGCTTTCACAGATGAGCAACGAGAAGCCGCCATCACGAAAACCGGTTTCAAAGACGGCGCGCTGAAAATCGACCTTGACGCAGATCAAACTTCCTCTTATGACGATGGCTGTTTTCACCTCATCTCGCTCAAATACTCATGCAATCGTGAGCCCCCTCTCATAACAGCGGTCGAGTTTTTTGCGGTCAAGAAGTCCCATTTGAGCCCCCTCTCATAACAGCGGCCGAGTGTTTTGCGGTGTAGAGGACGGCGAACGCTGGGAGCGCAGTACCGCAGGAACAAGCAAAAATTACACTCCTGGCGGAAAAGCTAAAGCTGGTGGCCCTGATAAACGTCGTGGCCCCTCGACGAAACCGAAAGGCCCGGGTCGCTCGAAACAAAGTGGGTACATCAGACTACAACTTCTGTCTTCTTTTTTTCTTCCTATGAAGCAAATACTCAGGCAGATAGAAGTTCACTCACAAAAAATGGCATCTCTTTGTAGTTGTTTTTCTCCTCAAACCACCAGACGGACATTTATGACTTCCTGAACAAAAAAAACATTCATCCACTCAACATCTTCACTTTTCTCTTCCTCTCTAACCGCTACATGAGACAATTGCTCACAGGAGAGGTCGATCCCCGACGGGCGGGGCTGGTACTCAAGCGTTGATAAAGGATCGAGGTGGCGGAGATGACACTGCCCCGGAAATCCTATCACCCGACCAACTACTCGCCGAGCAGAAGTTGTTCATGGACAACTTACGCCATGCCATATCATCGATCGCACAGGGCCTCACGCAGACGCACGAGGACAAGGACACGTTTACGCGATACATGCATGGTCCAAATGCAAAAAGGATGAATACCCCCCAACATTATGGCTACAGCTATCCTGGATAGACCCCGAGCCCGACGGAGGGTGGGCCTTGAGGTCGCAAAAATAAATCAGAGAGAGTCTGAAGAAAATGGGTGACTAAGGCTGAGCGAAGTGGGGGGCCTCGCGCGCCTCACCACCCACGGGACAAGTGAGAGTAGCAGCATTGCCGACGACCAATCTTCAGCCTGGTCACCATGCTCGCTCTTGTGTGGTGGCGCACTCTTGCGGGCAGCCGAGGGGCCTGGTCGCGGCTCAATCAGATTGGCAATCTGCGTGACACAGTAGCAAAAGGTGCCCAGGAGTGCCGCCCGAAGAACAAAGAGGACGCGGGGCCCCTGACCCTGAGGGCCGCAGGTCGGCCTCTAGGCTGCGCTGGCCAGGTGCATTGCCCAACGAAACGAAGCAGAGCCAGCGGGGCTGGCGTGGATGATCTCGAACGACTTGCGTGGCGCTTTGCCTGGTTCTCTGAGCAGCGCCCCTCGGCTGCCTTTGTGCCCATATGTAGCACTGGAGCTTCTGCCCCTGGCATGCATGGTGCGCCGCTTAGCTCTGTCGTGTGCGTTTGCGCCGGCGCTCACGGGTACGGGCTGCGCCTGTCTTCTGTCAGGTGGGCCCCCCGCCTGCCGGTCAGGACTTGGCACGCATATAGCCCAACGAAGCTCCCCCTGGGACCAGATGCCTCCGAAAACGAAAAGGCCGGTCCCGCGGCCGTAGGGTATCGCGAAGGCGCACAAAGTCTGGGGACGGTTTCGTGATTGTGCCTGCAGGGGTGCCGGAGCATGCTTGAGAAAGCCTCGCAGGATTCGGGCTTGTTGCTTCGCCGAATTACGACATTCCCCGGCCCAAAATAGACGCTGGTCGCGCTGGGACAGGGGTTCGGCTTTGGCTTCCTTTGGCCGCTGCAGGGTCGTGAAAGCGGGATGGCGGCCAGCGTCAGGGCCTGCGGGCGCCGCTGTTGGCGTGCCGTTGACTCTTGTTGCGTGTGAGGTGTTGAAGCCACCTTGAAAGCACTCTAGTTTCTGGCGTTTGAAACTGGGGACTTGGCTCACTTCATTCCCGAAAGCCGCGCCGACCGGCGCGTCTTGGTCGTTTCGTTCTTGGGTGAAATGGCTCTTGCTTGGTCCGGCTAGGCCTGCCGTGACGTGTTGCGGGGAGCCAACAAGCGCAGGCCCCCTCCGAGAAGGGGTTCGAGCCCTGGCGCTGCGCGGGCCCGTGCGGCGGAAACTAGCATCCCTCGGTCGACTTGCGTTTTTTCCAGGCGGCCTTGCTTCTGGTCTGTGTTCCGCTTCCTTGAGCGTGAGAGACTTGTGGCCCACCTTTCCTCGAGTGATCCTCTGTCAACCCAGGAAACAAAGCGTGGCTTTCATTTTTCAACTCTGTGGAGGCGCAGTCGGTACCGGTTCGTTATGAAATCATCCACAGTGTGTGTCGAGTCACTATTCAACCACGAAGTATGATGATTTAAATCACTTCATTTTTTTCGGTTTCGGAACACGTCTGAGATCGTCACAAAAGATGCGAGCCCCGCAGAAGAACTAGCACACTCTGCCATCTGCTCTACTCCACCTTATATATAATTAATCTCTCTTGTAACATCCACTTCAAGAATAGGGCTAGTAATGAAGCTCGCAATTATTATATTAATCTCTCTTGCAGCGAAGCGAAAGGGGTTTTACCCGATAACAAACTTATATAAATTTAGCCTCAGAAGCAGACCCGAAGATCTCTCTCTTCATACGTGCAGCCGCTGCCGATATACTTTAAGAAACAGCTCATGAATTTCACTATCATCAACAGAAGAAACGCACAAAGCATGTTTCTTCTGCTGGCATGATGAAAAGCGTCCGTCTCTAAACTTTGATAGACAGGGAATTTCACCACGCTCGGCAGCATCTTCATTCGCAGAAGCAGAAGGGGTTCTTTCCCAAAACAGAAGAAACGCTTCGCGAAGCGGTCGCAAAGCTCTTGCGGTCTGCGAATGATAATATGAACAACTACGAGCACACCTGGCATGGGCTGAGAATGCAATCATTAGCGGCAATCCGAGTGACGGTGAACGACGGAAAAAGCCCCTTGAAGGAACATTCTAGCGACTTCCAGAAGGTCGTTTTCGCGCCACCTGCGACCAGCGGAGATCTTCTCTGGGGCGACCAAGACAAGATTCGCACAGAGTGCCTTGAACCTGGTCAGGTATTTTCCATGGGGTGGAAGAGTGGGGCATCAAGTGAGGTTAACTTGTTCTTAAGATGCATCGGTGTCTATTTCCGAGGACATGTTTGGAATACTTTTGTAGACGAGTTTATGTGAATTTTCTGACGTGCAGGCAATCCTCGTCGTACGTATTCACTGAAAAAGACGGTGGTGGCAAGTATCTTTGTTAGTGGGGACCTCAACTATGTTGACGGCAAAAAACCACCCACAAAAGAACAAGATATAGTGCAGGCATTATTCACCTAAGGAGCCTCCCCCGAGCTGCAGGAGTATGATGATTCCTTCATTTTTTTTTTTGATGTGATTATTAAAGGGTGAATGTAGTCGTGAGAAGTTGCTGTCGTTGCTTTAGTATCGTATTCTTTTCTCAACCAAAACTTACTCTCTAATAACCTTACCGAAAACGACATGCATCTTCTTGATACCCGGTAAGCCGACGGAACTAGCGTCCTCGGCTGGCCGTGCAACCGAGTCCCAAATCCTGTATGCCGCTCTTGCGGACTACGAAGTAGCACAGCCGCCACGATTTGGCGCTACAGAAGGAGCAATAAAAAGGCATTGGGAACAGACGCCGGAAGTTCTCATCAAGGGGGGATCGTTTAAAACATTCGGCAAAGCAGCTCCTGTGGCGCACATCAAGTACGAACTAGAAAATCAAACGACTGAAGGAGAGCAGCGCATCAGGCGCGTAAGCATCGACAGTAACTTCGGAGGGACATCCGGTGGTGTGACCGAGTTCACACAGTGGCTCCAAAACATTACGGTCCACCAAACATTGATTTGTTTTTTCAAGGAACCTGGTCGTCTAATGTTTTTTAGCTGGTAAGTCTTAATTTTCCAGTGACTCCAAACATTACTTTACAGTGGCTCGCCTAATGTTACATTAGTTTTCAAGCATTAGTTTGATACATTAGTTTTACATTTTCAAGCACTGTGTACATTCACACATTAGTTTTACATTCACATAGTGGCTCTAAACATTAGTTTTACAGTGGCTCCAAACATTTAGACCTATTTCAAGGTCGTCGAAATCAATGCTTAACTGTTCCTCCAGGTAAATCGAGTCTTCCTGTCAACTCATGCTCTGCACTTGAACGCCCTCCCTCCTGCTGCCCGTTTTTGTTAGTACGGATTTGTGACCTCTGATCGATCCCTCTTCTAAAAGACACCAATTCACCTGCGGCGCCAAAGCGGTGACTTACGAGTACGACCATAGGTATTGCGCGGGACAAGTCCAGGCGGGAAATGGACGACCAGTGGACAGCGGCGATCAAGGTGATGGCGACGATATTTGTCGTTCGGAGACCGACGTTCCCGAAGATGGTAGAGTCACCACTTTCACGCACCCCTCCGAAATTACTGGGTATTTTTCCACTTCTTTGCTCCGACTTAGTTTCATAATTGAGACGGTGAAACCTGCAACTTTCCCATGCCGTTCCATTCACAAGAATGTAGTGACTGACCAAGATGGAAAAACCGTCATGACGCGTGTCAGCCCTATGGGTTGCTACACCCTGGCAAATGGTAACCATGTCGCGTCGGCGAGAATGTCGCTTTGTTGACGGCTTTGTTTTAGGCTTCCTGCGAGATCTTTCTACCCGGGGTGTGTCTACTTTGGGGGACGAGGTGAGGTGCAATACCTTGCGGCATAGGAAGTGCCTCTGTTTTCCGTTCTCCAATGTAGGCCCCTGCACAGCCTGTAGGAGCGCTACTGTTGTAGCGCTTTTTGTTTTAGTCCCGAACAAGTGGAAGAGCCGACAGGGCCTACGGCGTTCCATCTGCTTGCGTGTGTTTCTTTCATGTTGTCCGCCATCGTTTGCGAAGTTTTCAAGGCAGCCTTCGCCTTTCCGATATGTGTTTGAGCAGTGTACACTCAGCGGCCCTCGCCATCGTGGTGGCCTTGCTCGTCATGCTCGAAGACTGAAAATCTATGAAATCACCATCACTTCCGTCTCCTGTCTGTGCTATGAAAACACTGAGAATCTAAATCACCATCACTTCCGTCTCCTGTCTGTGCTATGAAAACACTGAGAATCTGGATCACCATCACTTCCGTCTCGTGTCTGTGCTATTTATTCAGGCACGTCCTCCTCCTCGTCCGTTCTACTTCCCAATTTGTATCAATCTAATTCGTAGAGACGAACTTGCTATTGCTATTGTATCTAATTTCTGGCCACAACTACATCACTAGGTTCTCGGGCAGCGTTAACAGTGTGCACGAAATGTGCCGCGAAGACAAATTTATCAAGTTGATGAATTGGCGCAAGAAAGCAGAGTCGCGTTTAGAAGCGGTGGACAATGGCTTGCGCGATGCATTGAAAAACACGCTAGATGGCTACGAGATGGGGTACACCTGCAGCGCAAAAGTGATTCCGAAACTAGTACTTGGTAAGATCAACGATTTTTTTACTAAGTGTTGACACGCTCCAAGAACAGATTGATCACGTGCAAGTTACTTATCCTTTATTTGGTGTATCATAAGTGAAGCTGAGGTCATCTTCAACATCTACTATTACTCACAACGGAGGCCTATTTCTCCTCTACTAACTTCAATCGCCAACTTCAGGGCTTGACCTAGAGTGCTCTCTCAAAGAAGTTCCGTGTGCGAAATTTCTGACGCAAACGCTCGAATGGCAGAAGAACTTCGCTGATAAATGCATCCAATTTGATCCAGCTCCCCTGTCAGATCCCAAGGAGCCTGTCGACTACAGGCAAAAATGCATTGCGGAAGGTAGTAGTCGTTGGATAGTAGTACTGGTTGCGGGAATATAGATGCTGAAGATATGATCTTAGCACGATAGATACCGTACACAGTATTGAAAGTTTCAATTTCAAAAAAAAAACAAAAAGTCATTCATGAAGGACGGAAAAGACAAAAATGAATTCTGTAATTCTTGGGTATTTTCATTTTTTCCAAAACTTTGCAATATCTCTGTTGACATCGATTTTCCTATATTTTATTCAGTCAATGTCCTTTCCCCCTTGAAGATGCAGACGATGTGCGAACAGCGGAGAGGCTGATGCAGGCTCACGCCAAAGCGATGGCAAAGGAACCGCTGAAGCGTCATACGGATCCGCAGTGCCCCTCCGGTGCGGCCGCCATCGCGGTTTTTCACCACAGCAAGGAGCAGCTGATTGACTTTAAGCCTTGGCTTCGCGACACAGCTGCTTTCCATGTTGCACTATATGAGAACCTGCTGGATACAGAATCCTGGCGAGACTTTGACGCTGGAGCTAAGCCAGTTGCTGCCAGAGCGATCTTCTTCGCATTAAGGAGAAATTAATCATGAACACATGATCTCTTTTGGTCGTGCATGGGGGCTTGTTTTTCTTTTTGAACAATATCATATTTACATACAATGGGTTTGGGTTTACATATTTGTGTACAAATGCCCCGGGCACGAGCCAACCAAGAGATGCACTGCGACACCTGCTAAGAAAAGGACGAAAACAGAACAACCCGAAAAACATGCCCAAGACGGTCGTGGGCATCACTAATGGTTCCTCCTTATCTTTTATTTCAATGAAGTAGACTCTTTTATTTTCACCAGTAAGTTGTCCCTCTTCGTCTTTTTCGAAATGTTTCGTGTTGATCCGAAAAAGGTTGATATTGTTCTTATCGGGATCGATTGTACTTTTTAGTTTTCTTAACGATATTTCATTATACAATTTCCATATCCAGTAAGTTAATCAGAAGCAGCATCTACACACTTTTTGTTGACTCCTGGTCCCCCCTCAGAATCGCTCCCATTCTTACGGACACAGGGGCCAAGGAATGGGGGTGGGAAAGTGGTACGACAACGCCAAATAGCTGCTTCAGCGAGCAGAATGCAAACTCGGACGATGAAAACCCGGGCTGCGTCTTCCTCATCCTTGGAACGCCGCGAGGCTTGGGCGGACACAGCTACGCACGATTGCTTCACGCAGGAATGCCCGACTACGAGAAACGCAGCGAACGTTCGTGGAGCTATGGTTATGCGAGGCACGGCTTCGCTTTGCCGCTGACCTACGTAACGTACACAAGCGACGCCCTCGACGGAAGCACGCTGAACACGAACATCCGCTTCGACGAGAACTTTGGGTCCTCTGATGGTGGGTGGAAAGGCTTCCAGGACTGGATGAAGACAGCAGCAGACAGAGAATCACCCTCCTGCGTTTATTTGCCGACCGCCTACAAGTACAGGATAGCAGATGGAGGATCGACGATAACTGAAATGGAACCGCATCATACAAGAAACGTGCAGAAGAGGGTCTCCTGTCCCGAAGAAGAACTAGTAGAGCTGGTTGGCAAGCGAGCTGCGGCAGCAGAGGAGGCTGCAGAGAAGGCTGCAGCGCAAGCAGCAAAGGAGGCTGCAGCGCAAGCATCAAAGGAGGATGCAAGGGCCTTAGCACCTCCTAATCAGAAAAAGAAGAGCAAGGCTGCACAGAAGCCTGGAGTAGGCAAGGCTGCACGAAAGACTGCAGTAGGCAAGGCTGCACGAAAGCTTGCAGGAGGCAAGGCTGCACGAAAGCTTGCAGGAGGCAAGGCTGCAGCGAAAGCCGGTAAACCGCCAGGAGCTGGTAGACGTAGCGGGCGGAGCGCGTCATCTTTTTTGGCGCAGAATGAGCAGAAGGTCTCTACGAAGTCCTTTCGAGGTTCCGTCGTTGGGCCGAAACCACGCACCCGCGGGCTACTTCAGAATCGCAGCGAGGATGCTACTTTATGCGCAAAAGGATTTCTTATAACTGATTCCTTTCAAAAAAAGCGACTCTCCTTCACATGAAAGAATTACAATCATTTTCAAGTAGTACACAGCCCCCACTCATTTCTTTGTGCATAAGTACTAGCGGCAGGGACGCCCGATGTTTTACTTACATGCTTTAGGGTAGTCTACGACAATGACAAGCTCAAGAAAAATACGAAAACGTTATGAACGAATGAATGAATGAATGAATCTTTTGGAGTATAGAAGACTCCAGACAGCCCTAGGCTAGACGTTGTAGTTACATTAGAGAAATCGCACTACTGTCGTGAGTAGTCGTTTCATTCTTTGGTCGATTCAAAAATCCACGCAGCAATTCTTTTTACTTGTCTGCCCTGCTTCTCTTTCTAGTTGTCCTCGCTGGAGTGTCTTTAGCTTTACAATATAGATTCTACTTACTACTTAACACCTAGGGTGGTGTTCAGAAGATCTGACAAGAGTGCTAGACTTCTGTTGCAACTTAGAGCTTCTCGCATTATTTAATGGCTTATAAATTAAGTAGATCCTATGATAAGTAGATCCTACTCCTAGGCGTACACGTTAGTACTCAACTAGTCACCCATTATAGCCATAACTATATAACTTAATACGTGCCGTCCAGATGGGGCCCTTCCTATACTATTCTAATCACATTCACATCTGGTCGATAGATAAATAGATCCTTGGTACATTCCAATCAGTACGTAGTAGTTGTAGTCTCCACCCAGTTGCATTCTAATCACACCCAGTCGCAGTGGTGCGGAGACTCTGGACCCCCGTTTGGGCGACGACGGTGAACCAGTGGACGCCTCCTCATCCGGTGAACCAATGGATGACTCTTCATTATGTTTGGCTCTATCACGGGTGAGGGAGTGAATAAAGGAACTTCCTTCATTCACTATTAAGCACGCCTCAGACTTGGACTAAAGACAATAAAAAGAAAGCAACTTAGATTGATATCGAAGACCGATTGAATGGGATATTAAACGGCCAATCAATGAAGCCGTCTACTACCTATATCCTACCTCAAATCCTATGCGGCCAATCAATGAAGTCGTCTACTACCTAGATCCTACCTTAATAAATCCTACCCGCACTAGATCTGTACGAAGACCCCCCCGAAGCAGAGGCACCCTATCCGATCCTACTCTACCCTATCCTATCTTGTACTTAGCTATACGCTTCACCACAGGAGAGCGTGGTGCTTGCACTCTTAGTTCAGGTTATTACTGTTTTACCCCTGTCGCGTCGAAATCGTCATTTTGCAGAAGTTGAAGCGGTCAATTTATCTCTCTAACCAGTGGGCGCTTACTCGAACCGCATACGGTGGCCACGATTCTTCTTCCGGTGGCTTTTTTCTCCATTCTCGTCTTCGCTTTTCACCGCCGCAAGGGACGAAACAAGGTGGAAGACCTTTTTCTTTAAATCTGATGCACGATACATTTGACATCTCTCACTCTCAAAGGCAATCCACAAAAGGTAGAACAACAAGCAGCAGGATTTAGATCTATTTTTGGCCACTGAGCTAGGGTTTGGACGTCTTCTTTTTCGTCAATTTTGAAATACCTTCCTCACTACGTACAATTAGACAACTTGAGATCGATGGACATTTCTGAGGACTCTCTGTCTTCACACCTTGTTTCTAATGACTTATGACAGATCTCGTGGACAGTCTGGATTTTGAAAGTCACTCAAACTACCAGGTAAAAACGAACAAACGATCACGATCCCGAAGTTCCCCAAGGCGTGCTGTAAACAATCAGGGTAGTGGAATTTGGGGAAAAAGCGATCTAGTGGACTGGCTCTGGGGAAAAAGCGATATTAAGGCCATTATAGATACCAGATTTACTGTCGATAATAGTGATAATAATTCCATCCGAGAACAAAAGGAGATTTAATATCCTTGTTAGCCATGAAACTTATAGCAAAGCAGTCTAGAACAAGTTTTTCAATAGTGTGAGTTCTTAGTGAGTCCTTAATATTAGGTTCCGAAAATATCAAAAGACTTTTCTGCATTTCTCATTCTCTGTACCCACAACCTCTAAAGCTACGGATAACATTACGGAGAACGCAGAACCTCAGGAGCAGGTCCGCGACGCTGAGGCGGCGCTCTTGAAGGAGGAACTCTAAAAATCGTTATCTTCTCAAGAATGAAGATACTTGAAAATTTTCGATGAGGATCTATCCAAGACTTTGCTATCTGTCAGCACTACGAAATCGAAGGATTCATAAGATTTTCATAGTTAGTTTTTAGAAGCTATGAGAGGATGCACAGACCTTGGATCCCATTGGATTTCTGGTCTAAGGCATCTTTCTTTCTCTCATCTTTCTTGCATTGGATTGGACATTTCATCTAGAAGATAGGATGTTTTCGAAACTATATGATACACATGTAGTTGTAGGTACAAATTAATGTTGAACAGCCGAATCATTCATGTATTGTATTTGAAAACTTGTATACCAACTACTATTTTTGGACATTCGAGCATCTTCTGCTGAACAGAGTTGACCGATAAAATGGCGATTACCCACTAATCATTAGTACTCAATAAGGAAAAATCGCCAAAGTATGCACAGCCTCGGTCAATGAGGAAAGAGTAGGTACAACACAGGCAGTCACAACACAAGTGATAAGTGAACAGGCCAGCGCCTAGACAACTTATCAAACGACAAGAAAACGTATGCCTCCTCGCATTCATGGAGGAGTGACCTCGTCATAGTAACCGAGTAATTCAACGCAACGTATGATAGAACGTATAACAATGTATAGTGAAAACCTCGGAAAAGCATAAGAATGCCACAACATCAACGATCTGCAATCATATACACGACACATCATACTTTGCGGAATATCCAAGTCAGTGTACTAGGAGATGTCCAAGATGCATAGTTTAGATGGTCGTGCAACAGAAAAGAATCACTGTCACAGAACTCTTGTACAACCACTAACTATGCATTGCTCTGCAACCTAATTCGGCTCTAAAAGCCGCACTCTTGTACAGCTACATGCGATTTGGAGCGCAGTGTGCTGCTGGGAATCAATACAGCCATTCTTGTACAGCTAGATTGCATTTAGTTCTGATGATTCAAAATCAAAAATATGACCTAATACAAATGTAAAAAACGCAAGAAACGCGCCGCAATCTCTTTTGGTATTTCAGCCATGAAGATATATCATGAATGCAATTCAGAACTTCTCGAAAACGCTCTCTGAAATCCATTGAGTACTAATTTCCTAGAAAGATGAACCTGAACGAATAGAAAAATATAGGAACGCGGATAGGTTTAGTGCGGCAGTCGCAGCTGCGGGGAGGTCGGTGCCCTGCGGAGGCAACCTGATTGATTGATTGCTTGACTACTAGTATTGTTCTTTGGCTCTTCAGTAGCCAAGGAAGTCTGCTAGTTTTCCTGGCGGGCCCACACCTAAGCTAACCTTACGATTGCACAGTCTGTCTGCGAGAAAAATCTGCACAGATCATCATGTCTGAAGGTGCAAACCACGCATGATCTTATTGCTGAATAGTGCCGGAAAGTGCAGTACTCTTCAATAGAGCCAATGCCGCAAAGCATTTGAGAGAATCGAAGTAGTAAGAGAGCATCCTGCATGAACGTTGAAGTACCGAAAAAAGGAAATTCCTCGAGTGAAGCAAAAAACGGTTTTTCAGGAAGTACGGCTCAAAAGTAAGTATGCCTCATCAGTGTCCTGATCTAGTTACCACTGTTGCCAGGCTCTTCAGTAGCCGTTGAAGTCCGCCACATCGGAAGGCGGATCCCAACCTAACCTAACCTAATGCAGCTGCTTGTGCTTTGGCTTTTATAGAGGAGCTCCTTGAAAATAGAACGGGGACGCTTCTTGAAATAGCTCACTCATATGGTATAAAGTGGTTAAGGTTTTATTTGACAGTGCTACGTACATAGTTGAAGGATTTGTAGAAAAGGAAGCAAAACTTTCTTACGCTTGATGCGATGGATCTGGTATTGATTTTCGAAGCGATGATCTGCCGACGGATATGGGAAGCGGTCTCTCCTGTAGGACGCGTTGCTTCTCCTGATGGCCGCTTCTCCTGATGGGCCGTTACGTGTACTCCTGTGACGATACCAAACGAGAGTGCGCAAGCTATCCGTACTAGAGACCGTAAGCGAGAGAAACAGTTTTCGCGTTTGTAGCACAGCGTTTGTAGCAGTCGAGTGCGCTCCACAACACGACGCTTTTTCCAGATAGCCGCAACCACCCGAAGGCTTTTCCAAATAAGTAGCCGCAACCACCCAGCAGTGTGCGTCCTCGAACTCGTTCAACAGAGCTTGCAAGACTGTCTCGTCGAATGCAGCTTCATGGATCCACAGCACCATGAGTGGACTCCTAGACCTCCAAGATCTTGTGTAGACCTTCGTCTGTACAAGACTAGTTGTAGAAGAAGTGCAAGACTAGTTGTAGAAGTACAAGACTAGTACTACCTGACTAGGAGTACAAGACTAGTACTACCTGACTAGGAGTACAAGACTAGTACTACCTGACTAGGAGTACAGGACTAGTGCTACCTGACTAGGAGTACAAGACTAGTGCTAGTACCTGACTAGGAGTACAGGACTAGTCGTGCAAGACAGAGCAAGATGGCGCCGGCTAAAGATACGATGTCGGTCCTCCACGCGTGGGGATCTCAGGTAGTTATATTAACCTTCTTCGTGACGCCCTGAAGATGGGATAACTCCAGCAAAGAAACTAAGATGAATCAGAAGCAGAACCACAGACAAGTATCTTTATAGAACTTTTGAGCGCACTTACGATAGAAAGATGCTTGCTGTTACTCAAAATACTGAAATCCAGCCGTCAGAAAATTCTAGAAAGTGAGACGGCTTTTCTATTCATCAACAGGGCCATGCTCTCTCTTTGATGGAGCAACAGCACGCGCGCTTCCTGGATAGTGCACATCTCCTTATGGCCTCGGATATATGCGCCTTGCTTCTGCAGAATTGGGCCAATAAATACCAATAATAAAGTTTCAGCGCCTACGCTTCAGCACACTATTGGTTTACAGCCCAATTCTTCATACAACGACGCAATCCTTCTGCTTCTCCTTCTACCTCTAATCTGTTCTACCCAGTCGGCTGCAACATCGCGGTTCGGAACGTACACAGTCCAAGTGATAGCTACTTCCTAAAACAAGCACAAAATGGAGTCGACGCCATCACCTCGTTCTGCGTTTCGCCGGATCGAACCCTCGTTCTCTCATGCGAGACGACAACAGCAGGATCGATTATGACATACAATAGCAGGATCGACCAAATAGAGATACAAATAGCGAGGATCGACCAAATAGCGAGACGACAACAGCAGGATCGACCAAATAGAGACCAAGTATACAACTTGCGTCATGCGTGAAGAACATGATAAGGAATTGGGCATTTCTCTTCGATGCGCAGGCCATAATAGAGAATAAGCAGTGTGCAGTATCAAGTGATTGCGCTTGCTGACCAACATTAGTGCACAGTATCAAGCCATCAATCATGCTTGACCATTAGAACAGGTCCTAATTGTCTAAAATAATGGTTCGGTATGGAGGGGAATAATACCTGCGCTTTTTCCTTTGATTTTGCATGAAAATGATAATCGTCGATGTACGAATGTGAGACGAGATACAACTACGGAGGACTTCTTCTATTCTCTAGACGCTATGCTCTCCGCTATACCTGAGCTCTAGGAGGATCACAACATCTTCGGATTGGGCAGGGGGTGATTCTTGATCTACTTGATCTACTTGACTGTCTGCTCTACTATGCTCCACACTATAGACCTGAGCTCTAAGGAAAGCTCCGGGGGGCAGGTTTCGGTGTATAACCTGGCGGCGAATAACAGCTTCACACCAACGTCAACTACAAACCTTGGCCTCAACGTTCGCAGATCTGGATACACTGCGGTTGCGGTGGACGTCAATTTATGCTCCGTAAGAAGTAGATGTCAATTTATGCTCCGTAAGAAGTAGATGTCAATTTATGCTCCGTAAGAAGTAGATGTCAATTTATGCTCGGTAAGAAGTCGATGTCAATTTATGCTCCGTAAGTATCCTTTCAATGAAGTCCTATTCCGAATCGATTCAAGCTATCAAGTAGATTCAAGAAATGGCGGAGAAGGTGACATGTACTGTTTGCGAACACTAGGACTGCAAACTTACACTCTGAAGATGATGACGCAGCTGCGTCATGTACTAAAACCTACGAAACTGTCCATCCACACTTGCAGTAACCTAAAAGCCTAGCGGTACCTTGTTGGAGTAACCTAAGCAGACTTTTTCATCTTCGCAGTATAACCTAGCATTTCATAGTTCACTACCCTAACCTTTCATAGTTGCACTCCCGAGTGGCGCTTTTGACGCCGCAATGGGAGGACCCAGCGTCAGCGTTCAGCGCGCGAATAGGCACGCACTTTCAGCTGTGCCAAATTTATGAATGTCATTTTCAGCATACGATGACTCTTCTTTCCTGTCTACGGCATGCAGTAGGGTAATCAAACATGTCTCAGACCATACTTGAACTCAGCATCTCCCATGTCGTGGTGCTTTTGCATACACGATCTACGGGGTAGCACCACATTTTTTCGTTGACTGCGAAGCGGCAGATAGAGACAAGATAAATCAACAGATTCACGAAGATTATTCTTACTAACTTATACTATTCACTGCTCCTCCTAGCTTACCGCCTCCAACGACCCCAGCCTAGTTTGGCATTGACGATGCTGACCCAGACCACGTTTCCGGGAGAAATATGCAACGTCGCGTTTGCGCCATACGACTCAAACCTTACGCTCCTCGTGGGCAAGGGCGGCTTCGTGAAGTTGTACAAATACAATGCGCATTCCGGAGATTTGCGTTTATGGGGTCCAATGGATTTTTTCGCCACGGTCTCAGGTCTACTGGGTGTCTGTTCTTGAACCAAGTAGCAATAGCATAGTTAGGGAACATAATTTCTCCTCCATTTTTGAGTTTGAGTACTAGAGCCTATCTTGTTGTGATTTATGTCTGTAGAAGGCAAGCACTAGATAGTACTGATGGAGAGGTGGCTCAGAGGACAAAGACAGGCATATACATCCAAGCGCTTGAAAAACCTTAACCTTTTTTTTGAAAAATCCTTCCCGTCGCACCTTACTAGTTTACACACAAGGCATGCTTGACGATCGACTCTAGCAGCAGCTCTTTGTGAGATTCTAAGCTAGAGTTTTCCGGATTTTGAGGGTAGTATAGATCCAGCGGCGCACTTTCTGACCTGCGTTTTCTACGGACCGACACCGGGCAGAAAAGAAGAGGAAGACCCTGGTGGAAGCAAAAGTAGTTTAATTACTTACTGGAAAACTGAAAATAACCGAGTTACTGACTGAAATAAGGGAGGTAGCTTTGACAGGGCTAGCTACTCTTCCTTGTTATCAGTATCTCGCTTATTTTCAGTAGTTACTCGCTTATTTCAGTTTTTCGAATATAAAAAAATGTGGAATATTAAATATCGCATTTCTAGATGAAGGAGTGCTGTTCCATTGTATATAATTACTAATTCTTTCGTTATATATTAGCAATCAAAGGTAGAAGTACCTAAGTATTAAACTCTCTGCACCTTCAACAGGTGCCCAGCGAACGGCTTTGCTGCAGCGACTATGGGCCAAGCAACGGGAAGTGCTGGTCTTGAACCAGGCAAAACAGGAGATCTGGATGCTAGACTCGCAAACATTATGGCCACCATATTATGTACCCTAGTAAACCCTACAGCAAAACACCACTGCTCCATACGATGCATGATTACGACAAGTCGACTGATATACTGCGGGCACCACTGTCGTGCGTGTCCTTTTCTTGTATCTGGTTATTGTCGTACTCCAGTATGTGTCTATCCATTGTCCTGCTCTAAAAACCCTGAAGATCGTCGATGTCATGGGCGAGTGTTTCGACCACACGCTCTCTGCGGCTGTGCGCCCGATGGCACTGGCAACCTTTCATTATGCTCTTACCTTGTTGTCGCGTGTGTAGAATCTAGTGTTGTTGCCTGTGCCGTGGAATCTAATATTACTCGGCTCCGTGATTTCATAGTCGTTGGCCTCCACAGTTCAACTTTCTCTCTCTATTTCCTTCTTATCAAACCAAACGCTCTGTTCAGCCTAATAGTGACAACCTCACCAGTCTCTCCCTCTATCGATTGTTCACAAGCAGAATTCAAGTCACTAATTTGGGAACCCCTCGTCCATATGTGATCGCCTACTCGAAGCTCGAACTACAGCACGGGGCGAAGACATGACTTAGAGCAGACACACCAACTACGTTTTGATTCATACCTCTAGCGCGTAGCCCTTCCAACAATATATCTCTTCTCGGAGAAGCTGATGGGCGTAGCCCTTCCAACAAGTATGAAATTATGACCCCTCTCTCCCTCGATCTTCATTCCATTCAGACACACCAACTACGTTTTGATTCATCCTATATTGTAAATGAAATTATGACCCCTCTCTCCCTCGATCCTGATTCCCTTTTCTCCCTCGATCCTGATTCATAGCAAAAAAGGTTTTATTGTGGGTGGGAGCGACGGTTACCTGGCCATATGGGAACGGCTGGACGCGCATAGCTACCGATTTGTCCGAAATCTGTACACAGTTAAGGCTTCCCCGAATCCATCCCTGTAGACATCCCTCAATTTTTTTTTTTTTTTGAGTTAGGACTAGATGCTGCCTCCCTTTCAACCAATTATATAAATTTAGCATAATGCGCCCCAATACAAGGGACCCATACTGACGCATATGCTTGAGGGATTTCCACCGGGATGAATAGGGGAGAGCTCTAACACAGGAAGAAGATCTGACCTGGTCTCCGTCGATGTCGTAGTGGATGACGATCTATTCTTCGGGAAGTTATGCAGAATGTTTTTGTTTACCCTGTTGAGGGTTTCTGAAGGAGAATGTAGTTTACCCTGTTGAACTCTGAAACCTTGTTGCGTATAGACCACTGCTCCTTGGGTTCATAGTGCTTGCCGGGTTCATAGACTGTGAGGTCTCAGATTGTGTATTTAGACGTGGGACATCAGATTATACAGTCTGAAGAAAAAACTGAAGAATTTAACTCATCCTATTAAGTATTTGATTCATTCTATGTTGCCTTGATATTCATTGCCTAGTTGTATCATTGCTTCATTGCTAGCGCAAGAGCCGTCAAGTGGAGCTGGGAGCAGTGGCACGAGCTCGCAGGCAGGCGTCGTCCTTGTCTTAAGGCTTACCGTAATTCATCTGACGAAGCATCTCTGGCCTCCTTTTTGAAGGGGAAAACGAACGTGTCAACGATGTACTTAACCAAGCAATACATCATAGGAAATGCTATACATAGTACATGTACGAGATCATGCCCTTGTAGCAACAAGTAAATAGGGCTGCATACAGGACTGCATCTAATTGCCTTTGCGGATGGCGACATGTGCTACGTGAATCTAGCTGAATTGTATCTGGCCAAAGACAAAATAGATTTTCCAGCCAGCAGATCACTAGCCGCACACACTGGCCCAATTGTCGCGATGTCGGCGACTGCTTCCGACCTCAGACCCTACTTCCTCACTTGTGCTGGCGGAAAAGTACTTATTATTATTTATACATAGCTTTGGCATCTCCTAGTTTTGGCATCTCCTCGTCTTGTATCACTTAGTAAGATGTACACTATTCTCCACGATTCTCCCCTCATTCTTGCTAGACGTAAGTACACTATTCTCCACGATTCTCTCCACGATTCTCCCCTCATTCAGGAGGACAGCAGTTTGCGAATCTACAATCACGAGACATTGGAGTTGGAACTAAGTGCCTTTTTTTCCACGGAAAAAGCCCCTGTGAGCGCTGCCTTGCATCCTGACGGCTTCTCCTGTGCTGTGGTTTTCTCAGATGGCAGTCTAAGTTAAGGCCGACCTGAGACATCCATGATTTTTCTTTTAGTTTCCAGGGGAAATAGGATCATTTGTGCATACGTAAAGCATTTTCTTTTAGTTTCCAGGGGAAATAGGATCATTTGTGCATACGTAAGCATTGAAGCATTTATTTCGACCTATTTTTAGAAGTTCGACATATATTTGGGATTCTTTGTGGCAGTAGGTTCTTATGTAGAAGAACGATCTGGACACTTTGTTTTGTTTCGTGGTGTTTTTCTCTTATCATGGTGTTTGTCTCAAGCCTTAGAATTCAGGCTGCCTTTTCTAATTCTGATTTCCATTCTAACTAAGGCTGTTCCACCTTTTGGCCACGCGATTGCAGGTCTTTTTCGAAACACGGTTACCGAATCTCAGAAAAGTCGCCTACATTATGGAAAAGTGGTAGACAAACTCCGCTTGAGTATGCAGGTGAAACTGTGGATGGCGGATCAAGTCCTATCCTATCCTTCCTAGCACGTGCTGGCAAAATTCCCTTCTGCAATACTTCCACGACTGCGTCCTAACAACTCTTTCCACAGCACTTTTCTTTCTTTGTACCTCGCTCCCTACTCGTGATTCACCGTCTTGAAGTAGATTGCTCTCATCCTGTTGCACGAAACACTTACGTGTTACCTGGAAGATTTCTGTGTTACCTGGAAGATTTTAGGCAGACCTCCTGTCGTAGTTACTCCTTGCTTTCGCAGCACCTATACCCGTTGCAGGAACGTTCTTGCTTTTGTACTCTCTCCGATAGCAATCTCTCCAACAGACCCCAGAGGTATCCCCGTTCCGCCTCCCCCTCGCTTTCATACTCAGTCCAACAGGGCACATGCTTGCAGTAGTGCATGGAAAAGTAGTGCAGATCCATGATTCAGTGAATATGCAGAAGCTCACCACACTGCGGAAGCATTCGTGTAACGTGGCTGATATTTGCTTCGATTTCAGCGGTACCTCACTCGCCACCATCACTGTCGATGGATGCTTCTCTTATGTCGATAGGACTTGCTTGAAATTCTAGTGTTGAAACTTGGGACTTTCTTGTGCATTCCGAAAAACAGGAGGCTTTCCACCTTCCAGAAGAAGAGGACAGACAAAGATTCCACCACGAGCGGCAACTTGTACGAGCTCTTCAAGTACTGGGTCAGTAAATAAAGTTCTACCTTAAGTCACTGTTCCTTTGAGCATGTCTTACTGAAATGATTCTGTCAGCCTTTTTTACTGTTCTTACCTCGAGTCAGAGTCTGATGAACGACATTGAGAAAGATTGATATGAAACGATGATAAAGTCAGAGCACATTGATAAAGATATTTATACTAAAAATCTTCTAATCTGGAGTGTGGTCACTCACGACCTTCACTCGAGTAGCAGAGTACCTCTGCGAACCGCACAAAGACTCCCAAGATGGCAACGTGCTTCTGAATGCGGATGATCCAGCAACGAGAGCGGTAGATTGATATATTGCAACATTCAACGAGATTCAAAAAACTACAGCAACTATCTTTAAGGCTACAAGAAATCCATCTTCACAAGCATCTTGGTCCCGTTTTTAAAGGGAAAACGAGACCCAAGATGCTGCTCAAGATGGATTTCTCTTAGTTCTAATACCTCCTCGCAGTTTTAGTTTTGTCGGGGTCTGAATCTGAATGGGTGGAACACTAGTAGTTGCTCACCTCCAGCACGTGAAGATACTGCTGCTTTCACCTAGAGCTATCTTAGACTTCAGAGTAACGCACCGTACTAGGACCAATGGAAAGGTTTCTTCATCTAGTAGAACTAAAAATACGTACTTAAGTACTAAGGAAAGATACTTACTATGTTGATTTATGATCCCATTATCGTAGGTCCAGACACGGAACATAATGAGCTTATATGAGCAGTTTGCAGCGAGCATTGCATTTGATGGAGACATAACGAAAGGAAGGCATCGCTGGGTCGTTGCCTTGAATTTCAAGACCGTGAGTACTTAAGGCTTACTGCACAAATTCATTTCTGATTCTGAAGACGCATCCTCCCACCTCTGCTTCTCCCACCTCTGCTTCTTCCGCCTCTGCCTGTGCTGGAGTGTTTTTGGCTACTCCTCTGAAGTCGATACTGTATGCTTTCAATGGGGCAAAGGTCCGAGATGAGTCGTAAGGTGAATGTCGGCAGGGTCTAAGATACGAAAGAAACGGTGGGGAAAATGTTCGGTCGCTTGTACGATCTCTATCTAGTGCCACCACGAAACGCGGAAACGCAAGATCTGCCCAATGACCTCGAACTGCATTGCAAGTTACGACGTTATAGAAGTCTTTCTTCTGAATAGTGAAAGTACATTCTTGGCCTTTTCTTCCGGAAGGAATCTAGTAGGCATATTATTTGTCCGTTCTTTTTCGTACGATGTTGTAAATGAAAAAATCATCACGGATCTGTAGCAGGCATGCATAGAGAAGAGTTGCTGCTGATGAAGACTAGCTGAATTCTACTCTAAACTGTCTCGAGTTGCCGGATCAGGTGTATCTTACCTCCCTGTCGTTCGACCGGTCTTTGCAGAGCATAAGTCGAGACGACCACCACCATCCCGTCGTACCATTATGATCTTTGGATTATCAACATCATGTGGACATGCTGGTGTTAAGTAGTTATAACAGAGTAGTTTAGGACATGCTGGTGTTAAGTAGTTCTTAACTAGTGAGGAAAAAGAGGGTTAAGAGGTTATTCGCAGCGCGGCCAGCAACTCTAATCCAAGTAGCCGATCGATATGGTGGCAGTACTCTCTACGCTACGACCATTCGAGGCTCCGTATGGGTCTACCCACATCCCATCAGCCTTATGAAAACGTGCACGAAGATTTTTTATCAACTTCGCCCATGACGGATAACAACACTCTCTTCGATTTTTTTACGGTTGCAATCTGAACGTGGATTACATCTCTTTTAGTAGGGGATCTTTTCGTAACGGTCATGTCTTCTCTTACAAAGGTGTGATCATTTTTACTCTTACTGGTAGGCCTAAAAATGATTTTTAGGTCGGCCTTCTATACCCTTATAGTACCCATTTAATAGATCAAATGCGATGATCTCAGCGACAGAAGAGTAATATCTACCTAGAAATACTTCTACCTAGAAAGGAGGTTGAGAAATACTTAACACTTCTGCTTCATATACCTCGACACGGACTATGAGGAGCTGCAGCTCCACTCTACCCGAAGGAAAACGGCACGTGCGCAGGGTCCCACTCTCTCTTAAGGCAAGTATCATAGTGTGGTTATGTAGTTATTCAGAACTCACCACAATCCATCTTTTCCCTCATCTGCTTCCGTTTTTCTTCTTGAAAACAGTCCACAGATGGGCCAAAAGATGGATTAAAGATATTCAGAAATGAATCACTTGAATTTAACTCACTTCTAGAATTACCTTAACTCACGTTCTAGCGTCTGCGGCCTCAGTTTCCACCCCCCTAGCCAATAGCTATACACACACCTCTAGCCATACTAGCTTCTCTTGTTGTATTTTTATCTTCATTATGGTATAGCGTCCGAAAAAGATGACTTCTAGACTTCTTCGGTAGCCACACTTCTATCCAAATCCATAGCTATTTACACACACCTCTAACCATAGCTCCTGTTGTTTCCGATAGCTATACACACACCTCTAACCAGAGCTCCTGTTGTTTCCGATAGCTATACACACACCTCTAACCATAGCTCTTGTTGTTTCCAGGCAAGAAGATGCTCACGGGCTCAATGGACGGATCCCTGTTCCTTGTACAGATAGGCGCACCGGCATCAAAACTACCTCGCGGAGACGACGTCTGTCTAGTGGAGAAGCAAGAACTGCAAAAGTTCGAAGACAAAATCGACAAACTGCGACATGATCTTGATTATGACATTGTGAAGATGAACAGGGTTTCATTTACTAGAAGATCCAGAACAGGGTTTCATTTACTAGATCCACACGAAACTTGCTGAAGCAGCTACGGAGACTCGATGGATGTCCACCTTACATCTTTACAGCATAGAAATACTGACTTTGAAAAGTCCTAGGTAAATCTCATTACTAGATGCAGACTATCCATCATGAATGCCTTCCGAATGATGAGAACAGCTTCAGATGCGTAATTTATAGAAAATCACTTGTAAAAATGATGCAATGTAATTACCTTAGTGTACGAGTGAGACAGTGAGGCTCCCTTGTCTAATCATCTAGCGCGAAGACGGAAAGTGTGCAGAAATTGGACCAGTTGAAATACGCCTACGAAGCTCGGCTGGAGAGCAACAAGCTGAAAAGCGAAAAATCAGAGGTCGAAGCGCTCAAAGAGCGGATAGCAATGCTCTTATGTTGAATGCTCGTATGTTGTCCGAAGTCATCAGGATGGAAATAGAAGAGGATGCTCTTATGTTACCCTACCTATCGGAGATAGCCCGGTTAGAAAGCTTCTTTACCTTAGCGGCCACGAGCCATCCTGGTTTCTTCTTACCCTCTTTCGCCCACCTCAGCTTTTGTAGAAGAGAGACTCATGAACATGAACTACTACATGTTAAGTCTAAGTTGATGACCTTGGACTTTTTTTTATGCCCTCACCTCTAGTTTCTTAACCTTTTACGGCCTCTCTTCTCGTCTATTCGTCTCACCTCCTCTCTTCTCGTCTATTCTCTTCTCCCTATCTCACCTCCTCTCGTCTAACCGTCGAGGACATTTTGCAGGAACGAGAGCAAGAGCCAGTGCGTATGGTGAAAGCACTGGAAGCGCAGCACATAGCTGCTCAAGAACAGCTGGAGGGCATGTACGCATCGAAATTGCAAATGGAGAACGACCGATTCACACTGCTGACAAAAGACATGCACCAAACTCAACAACAAGCGGCTGCGGATCTGCGAGATAGCAAGGAGTCGGCAGAGAAAGAACGCCTATGATTTTGACTAGTCTACTCCTGATTGAACAAGGGGGCGTAGTTAGAAATGGTTGGAACTCAAAAAAAAAGCTGCTAAGTACTGATACTTCATTACGTACAGAAAATCGAAATTATAGGCCAATAGTCCCATGTAAAGCAATCATCTCCAGGTCATGAAGATGATTACATGAGATATTCACGAGGATATTTTTACGGAATTTTTCTCACACGAGAACTCCTAGGCTAGGAGTTAAACAAAAGCCCTCTTTCATATGCCGACGAGGTAGAGGGCAAACTACGAGGGGAGATCTTCGTAAAAGATGAAGAAATTGCCAAGTACAAAGCATTGATCAAGTACGTGGAGCAACGGTACAATCAGATCCTCCGCGATGAAGAAACTTAAGGCTGTTTCGAATATATCTTAGCACAATGCTGTAGCATGGTTGATTAATGGGGATGAATGTAGTTACTTCTCGCGAGTTTACTGAAGATTACCCAGGAAGCTCATATTTTTACCTGTTGTACCACGCCCGCACATTGAGGAGACTTTAGTACACCTTGCTTTAGTATTGTTGCCCGTTTCTCAAACTCTTGCGAACGAAGGTCACTCGCGAAGAAGTTTATAGTCTTCTAAAAAGCCGATCGAGACGTCGAGATCGAGGGTTTGATGGATTCGGCCACGAAAAACCTGCAAGAATCTCAATTCCGCGTCAATCTATGACTTTGGAAGGATTTTGCTCATTTCCCATGCTGTAGTACTCCTTGACGCCTTTTCAGACTTGCTTAGCGGTTGCCCGTTTTCTATTCAGGTGGGCGTGTGTGTGTGTGTGTGTGTGTGTCGTTTTCTCAGATGTAGCCGTCTTTCTCGCAGAGCATGTAACTGTTTCTCTACGTAGTTGCATCCTCTAGCTCCTCTCGTTGCTTGTAGGAAAACAAAAACGATACTGAGGGTCCGAACTCGCACCATCTAGCAGTACCATCTAAGCACTGCGATGAAGAAAGAGCAAGACACGCTGCTGCGTGGCCTTAACTCCATGGAGAAGGAGCGGCAAAAATTCGCACTATTACAGAAAGAGCAGGAACAGAAGTTACGCTCATTGACTTTTCCCATATGTGATATGAACCTTGTATCATTGCTTGATGAAGCATGTCTCTTTAGTAGTACAGAGTGTGGTTGGATCATTTAGTAGCACGGCCACTAGACTCCTAGAATACAATTCTGATCCATCTCTAGTGAAGGTACCCTTCGGTCTAGAGCAGTCCCACACGAAAATAGTCATCGTCAATGACGTAGTACTCTATGTCTGTGCTGATTAATGGCAGAGAGGCCTTATGAGTAAGATCGCCATGACTCTCGTCCTGCCCTTTCATCTCTCTTTTAAGTCCTCTGTTTGAAACAAGCTCGCCCTTTCGTTGTGCACCCATGAGACAAGCTTTGTTTTCTTCTCCTCTTTTTTTTTGGAATTTCCCTGATCTAATCTCCGTCCAAAAGATGGAGAAGGATGCGCAGCGTGTTGCAGGCCAGATGGATGGCTTGCGGCAGGAAATTGGTGATTTAGAGAAGCTGTCTAGAAAGAAGGACAAGCAAATAAGCGACTTGCAGCAGAGTATCGAAAAAGTTGAGCGCCATAAAAGTGCGATGGAGGTACCGAAAACTGGTTCTACAGTTGTTTGCACTTCACCTTCTTGCACAAAAAATCAGGGTAGTTCTTGTGGTTTACAAGCTCTGATAACTCATACAACATACATTTGTAACATGTTAAAACTACCAGAGTGGTAATAAAGAGCATCAATTTGTAACGAGTTTTTCAAGCTGCCAGACTGATGATCACGAAGATCGGTCGTCTAATTTGAGCCCGTACATAACTTCTAGCATCCACCAAGGCATTCATCTAGTCTGGAGGAAAACTTTCCGTATTTTTCCTTTGGAACAATTACTCTTTCAACTAAAACAGTCTACTGAAGTCCTAAAACATGCTCACTCAACACGCTTCTACACCAAGAACAACACGTACTTTTTTTCGAATTTTTAATCAGGCAGAATTGAAGTTTCTGAACGAACGCATCCAACCGAAGGATAGCAAGATTCAAGAGCTCTCTGGACACCTAGCAGACGCAGGTCGCGAATTTGTGCACAATTATGGAGGATGGGAATTTTAGATACTTAGGCAAGTTAAGTTTTAGATTAGATTTAGATTTTTGTCCACTTGAGTTCGATTTTAGATCATTTAGATTGTCCACTTGAGTTCGATCCTCAGCATGGGCGAAAGAGATCAGATTAAGGATAGTCTTTTTTCCCCGTTGCACCATCAATGGATCTTGCAGGTGACGAAAGGATGGATGGAAAAAAATCATGACTACAAGTGAAAAATAGCTGTAGTATCATCTCCAACGTTCGTTGAAGGCTGAGCAGAGCAGGGACAAACAAGTCGAGGCGCTGAAAATCACGATACAGCATCAAACAGAAGCCATAAAGCAATCTACGCGCGACAAGGAGGACAAAGACAAATACATTTATGCAACTATGTGACTCCTAATGTGCACTCGTCAGACTCACCATTCTTTACAACTCTTCAAAGTGGCTTGTTACAACTCAAATGGCTATAAAGATTGCAACAAGTAAGTCTATGGCTCCACTATCTAAATCATCCAGAAATTTCAGCGGGAATTGTACCACGCCGCACACGACACCAACGAGCCTAAATTATGGCAAGTTAGAGCGCATCTCACTAGACAGCATGACTCCTGGCTTCTTTTTCAAACAGAAATCGGCGTCTTTTCCCTCATCTAGGATGCCAAAAGGGATGTGTTACCAAGAAGGGAAGGATTTACTCTTCAATAGGGAAGGAGGACCCGCACCATCACCCAATAGTACGTTTCCACGTCTCTCATCCCGGTGATCGATCAACATCACTCTAACAGAAGCTGCGCTGCTGACGCTCCGGAGAATGTATCAAGCCTATTCAGGGCTCTACAAAGGTGACGAAGGTGGACGCATGCCCAGTAGTGGCGCTGACGAAGCGGTACTACTACTAATCATCCTTGGTTCTAGAAGTATCTTCGCATGAGACACATGTCACGAGTAAAGCGTGTGTCTCAAGAAAAGTTCTCAATCTCAGGAGGATCGCAGATGAACGCCTTCAACTGATGTCTTGAGAGCTCAACAAAAACTAACAGGAGGCGGTTGGCGTTGTGGAGATGGACCGGCAAAAGAGGCAGCTGAGCCGTAGTCTGAAGAAGCTTAGCGCTAAAAGTGACCAGCAAAGCGAGATGGGCCGCGTGAATAATATGCGGAAAATTGGAGAGAACTCTCTCCTCATTTTATGCCGCGACTTTCTCAAGAAGTACAGACACTTCTACTGCGTACAGACCTCTAGAGGCAAGGAAATCCTCCTTTTTGCATTTGAAGATTGTGAGTAATATGGTTTACTTCTGCGTTTGAAATCACTACATCAAAGATGTTGGTATGAAGTTTCAGCTTGGACTCCCATGCCTACCAAGATAGTATTGTTAAGTAGCACGCATAACCAAGCTAGTTTGTAAGAAAGTTTGGATGTGCTTCTGCAAGAAGTGCCACAGATTCTAGCTGTAGAAACATCAGGTACACATGACTGAATAAAAACTCCTAAAGTACTCTAATCCTGCAAGAGATAAACGAGCTGAGGAAAGGGCAAAAGAACTACCTCGACAAGGTATTACTGTCTTGCAAGAACTGTCTGGTACGATATAGATCATTTGTCCTCAAAGTCTAGAACTGCGTCCACAACTTCTGAATGCAATTGTTCTTTGAGCGGACGGGATAGTACCCAAATTTTTGACACAACTCTTGTCACAGATAAAGCAGCTCGAGCTGATGGTAAAGAGCCTTAGGGAAGGAGCCGCTGCGCCACCTCGATCAAGCTCAGCACCGCGAATGCCCCCAATCAGCGCAGGAGCCGCAACTGTGCGTACTACTTTTTATGTAAGTGTAGAACTGATCTCTTAGATGATTACGCCAAATGATGACAGGGAGACAGGCACGACATGACTACGTCTGTAAATGTTAATCTTGAACTGTCCGTAGTTCCAGTATGGAAAAATGCTACCTACACTCCTGAGACTAGGTCTAAACAGAGGCCTCACACTTTTTCCTCCCAATATCAGAACCAAGTGGGCTCGGAACTAAAGCGGGTTTGCCCAACGCTCGAGCGAAGGCACAACTGCAGGAATTTGCTAGTGCTGATGGCTTTCCTCTGATGATCTCGATGCAGAACTTAAGGCACACAAAATAACTTTATCAGACCCTATGCTTGGCCATTACTAATAATTCTGTACATATATATCTTTTACCCACTATCCTTCCTTTTTCTTTTCCTAGTTAGATACGCTCTACCAATATTTTATTAGACCCTATGTATTGCAAAATAACTTTATCAGACACTCTAATCGTCCTACCTATCCTTCCTTTTTCTTTTCCTAGTTAGATACGCTCCACCAATATTTTATTAGACCCTATGTATTGCAAAATGACTTTATCAGACACTCTAATCGTCCTACCTATTCTTCCTTTTTCTTTTCCTAGTTAGCTTGGCTCCACCAATATTTTATCAGACCCTATGTATTGCAGAATAACTTTATCAGACACTCTAATCGTCCTACCTATCCTTCCTTTTTCTTTTCCTAGTTAGATATGCTCCACCAATATTTTATTAGACCCTATGTATTGCAAAATAACTTTATCAGACACTCTAATCGTCCTGTTCCAGATGCAGTAATCTCTGTAATAGGTGGTGTCTGAGTTCAAGAATCTCTAAAAAGCCAAAGGTAGTTGGATGCGATGATGAAGTGACGCAGTGTGGGTAGCAGTTCGGCGGTGGCGAATTTTGAGTAACTTTTCTGGAGAGGGAGTGACGACGTTGCACTTTTAACCTTGAAGAGTAAGTACTCCTAGGGGTACTCCGAATCATGTCCTCTGGTCAAATTCGGGCGTTTACGTTACCAAAAACTAGATTAGTAGGTAGTGTTGTAGCAGTTTTTAGTGTTGTAGCAGTTAGCGAGTTTTCAACAGTTTATTCAATCCAAGACAAAATAGGAACTCATGTAGGTATAGGACTCAAACGAAAACGCATGATATTATATTACCACAATTGTTATGAATAGGACTTCGCCCATCAAGAAGGCGAGCGCATCAGTACATCCTAAAGAGGACCATCGAGAAGGCGAGTGCAACTGTAACTAGTACAAGCACACGCTTAAGAACGCAGGATAATGCAGCGGATATTGTATAAGAATAGCCCCTAGTTCGCCTACTCTGTGATATCGCTGTATTTTTTTTTGAACGTTTTTGGCCACCTTAGCTTGTTATTTTGTCGTGATAAAATCACACACCCCTGATCTTTGCTATGAGTCTTTTGTGACGCTGATAAATATCTCTCTCAGCCCATGCGGATACAAGCCTCATTCCATCCTCTCTGTCGTGCACTGGTTATGTACACCTATTTTCACTCTATTTATTACGTCCAAATGAGCACCCCGCGTCTTGAAGTACTATGTATATGTGGTCTCCAAAACTGCTCGCATGTTTATCCATTTTATTAGACCTTCGTGGCACATGTAGATGTAAGTCAGTAGCTCCAGGACTGCGCTCTATAGAAATCTTTCTAGGGTCATGTCGGACGACCCATCTAGGGGTTGCTCATACTTATGCGTGGGCATCTGCGCACTTTTTTGCTCTGTTGTTTTTTTGAGGTACTTCCGTCGCATTTGTAGCACAAATACAGAACGAGACTCAAACACACCCCCAGCCTGCATGTTTAACCCCTGTGATTTGAGGTCTAATGAGGTTCCTTAGAGTGACGATGTCAAAGTGACCAAGTCACCACTGTACAACCACCAAGGCACAACTTTACAAAACAAAAAAACAACATCGGAAGGCGCGACTATTATATGTGGCTAGCCTGCGTGTGCCTGGCTCCGATCCCTGGGCCCTGTGAATTGTTCTGAGAGTTCGCGCACGCCTTCAACAAGATGACACGGCCAACGTCGCGAGACCCGTGCTCGGGTGTGCATGGATGTGAGAAGACGCGGGCAACGCCATGGGGCGGGCGCCGTTTAGTGGCCGGACAGGCTCGGCGGCCTTGGTGCTGGCTACTCTTCGCCCTGGTTTGTTGGTCCGGTTTTTCCGGGTGTCGTTTGGGTTTCTGCCGGGCTCTTCACGGACCGCGTGGCGGCTCTTTCCTGTCTTGGTTGGTTGGTTCGGTTTTTCTGGGTGTTGTTTGGGTTTCTGCTGGGCTCTCCACAGACCGCGTGGCGGCTCTTTGCTGTCTTGGTTGGTTGGTTCGGTTTTTCCGGGTGTTGTTTGGGTTTCTGCCGGGCTCTTCACGGACCGCGTGGCGGCTCTTTGCTGTCTTGGTTGGTTGGTTCGGTTTGTCCGGGTGTTGTTTGGGTTTCTGCCGGGCTCTTCACGGACCGCGTGGCGGCTCTTTGCTGTCTTGGTTGGTTGGTTCGGTTTGTCCGGGTGTTGTTTGGGTTTCTGCCGGGCTCTTCACGGACCGCGTGGCGGCTCTTTGCTGTCTTGGTTGGTTGGTTCGGTTTGTCCGGGTGTTGTTTGGGTTTCTGCCGGGCTCTTCACGGACCGCGTGGCGGCTCTTTGCTGTCTTGGTTGGTTGGTTCGGTTTGTCCGGGTGTTGTTTGGGTTTCTGCCGGGCTCTTCACGGACCGCGTGGCGGCTCTTTGCTGTCTTGGTTGGTTGGTTCGGTTTGTCCGGGTGTTGTTTGGGTTTCTGCCGGGCTCTTCACGGACCGCGTGGCGGCTCTTTGCTGTCTTGGTTGGTTGGTTCGGTTTGTCCGGGTGTTGTTTGGGTTTCTGCCGGGCTCTTCACGGACCGCGTGGCGGCTCTTTGCTGTCTTGGTTGGTTGGTTCGGTTTGTCCGGGTGTTGTTTGGGTTTCTGCCGGGCTCTTCACGGACCGCGTGGCGGCTCTTTGCTGTCTTGGTTGGTTGGTTCGGTTTGTCCGGGTGTTGTTTGGGTTTCTGCCGGGCTCTTCACGGACCGCGTGGCGGCTCTTTGCTGTCTTGGTTGGTTGGTTCGGTTTGTCCGGGTGTTGTTTGGGTTTCTGCCGGGCTCTTCACGGACCGCGTGGCGGCTCTTTGCTGTCTTGGTTGGTTGGTTCGGTTTGTCCGGGTGTTGTTTGGGTTTCTGCCGGGCTCTTCACGGACCGCGTGGCGGCTCTTTGCTGTCTTGGTTGGTTGGTTCGGTTTGTCCGGGTGTTGTTTGGGTTTCTGCCGGGCTCTTCACGGACCGCGTGGCGGCTCTTTGCTGTCTTGGTTGGTTGGTTCGGTTTGTCCGGGTGTTGTTTGGGTTTCTGCCGGGCTCTTCACGGACCGCGTGGCGGCTCTTTGCTGTCTTGGTTGGTTGGTTCGGTTTGTCCGGGTGTTGTTTGGGTTTCTGCCGGGCTCTTCACGGACCGCGTGGCGGCTCTTTGCTGTCTTGGTTGGTTGGTTCGGTTTGTCCGGGTGTTGTTTGGGTTTCTGCCGGGCTCTTCACGGACCGCGTGGCGGCTCTTTGCTGTCTTGGTTGGTTGGTTCGGTTTGTCCGGGTGTTGTTTGGGTTTCTGCCGGGCTCTTCACGGACCGCGTGGCGGCTCTTTGCTGTCTTGGTTGGTTGGTTCGGTTTGTCCGGGTGTTGTTTGGGTTTCTGCCGGGCTCTTCACGGACCGCGTGGCGGCTCTTTGCTGTCTTGGTTGGTTGGTTCGGTTTGTCCGGGTGTTGTTTGGGTTTCTGCCGGGCTCTTCACGGACCGCGTGGCGGCTCTTTGCTGTCTTGGTTGGTTGGTTCGGTTTGTCCGGGTGTTGTTTGGGTTTCTGCCGGGCTCTTCACGGACCGCGTGGCGGCTCTTTGCTGTCTTGGTTGGTTGGTTCGGTTTGTCCGGGTGTTGTTTGGGTTTCTGCCGGGCTCTTCACGGACCGCGTGGCGGCTCTTTGCTGTCTTGGTTGGTTGGTTCGGTTTGTCCGGGTGTTGTTTGGGTTTCTGCCGGGCTCTTCACGGACCGCGTGGCGGCTCTTTGCTGTCTTGGTTGGTTGGTTCGGTTTGTCCGGGTGTTGTTTGGGTTTCTGCCGGGCTCTTCACGGACCGCGTGGCGGCTCTTTGCTGTCTTGGTTGGTTGGTTCGGTTTGTCCGGGTGTTGTTTGGGTTTCTGCCGGGCTCTTCACGGACCGCGTGGCGGCTCTTTGCTGTCTTGGTTGGTTGGTTCGGTTTGTCCGGGTGTTGTTTGGGTTTCTGCCGGGCTCTTCACGGACCGCGTGGCGGCTCTTTGCTGTCTTGGTTGGTTGGTTCGGTTTGTCCGGGTGTTGTTTGGGTTTCTGCCGGGCTCTTCACGGACCGCGTGGCGGCTCTTTGCTGTCTTGGTTGGTTGGTTCGGTTTGTCCGGGTGTTGTTTGGGTTTCTGCCGGGCTCTTCACGGACCGCGTGGCGGCTCTTTGCTGTCTTGGTTGGTTGGTTCGGTTTGTCCGGGTGTTGTTTGGGTTTCTGCCGGGCTCTTCACGGACCGCGTGGCGGCTCTTTGCTGTCTTGGTTGGTTGGTTCGGTTTGTCCGGGTGTTGTTTGGGTTTCTGCCGGGCTCTTCACGGACCGCGTGGCGGCTCTTTGCTGTCTTGGTTGGTTGGTTCGGTTTGTCCGGGTGTTGTTTGGGTTTCTGCCGGGCTCTTCACGGACCGCGTGGCGGCTCTTTGCTGTCTTGGTTGGTTGGTTCGGTTTGTCCGGGTGTTGTTTGGGTTTCTGCCGGGCTCTTCACGGACCGCGTGGCGGCTCTTTGCTGTCTTGGTTGGTTGGTTCGGTTTGTCCGGGTGTTGTTTGGGTTTCTGCCGGGCTCTTCACGGACCGCGTGGCGGCTCTTTGCTGTCTTGGTTGGTTGGTTCGGTTTGTCCGGGTGTTGTTTGGGTTTCTGCCGGGCTCTTCACGGACCGCGTGGCGGCTCTTTGCTGTCTTGGTTGGTTGGTTCGGTTTGTCCGGGTGTTGTTTGGGTTTCTGCCGGGCTCTTCACGGACCGCGTGGCGGCTCTTTGCTGTCTTGGTTGGTTGGTTCGGTTTGTCCGGGTGTTGTTTGGGTTTCTGCCGGGCTCTTCACGGACCGCGTGGCGGCTCTTTGCTGTCTTGGTTGGTTGGTTCGGTTTGTCCGGGTGTTGTTTGGGTTTCTGCCGGGCTCTTCACGGACCGCGTGGCGGCTCTTTGCTGTCTTGGTTGGTTGGTTCGGTTTGTCCGGGTGTTGTTTGGGTTTCTGCCGGGCTCTTCACGGACCGCGTGGCGGCTCTTTGCTGTCTTGGTTGGTTGGTTCGGTTTGTCCGGGTGTTGTTTGGGTTTCTGCCGGGCTCTTCACGGACCGCGTGGCGGCTCTTTGCTGTCTTGGTTGGTTGGTTCGGTTTGTCCGGGTGTTGTTTGGGTTTCTGCCGGGCTCTTCACGGACCGCGTGGCGGCTCTTTGCTGTCTTGGTTGGTTGGTTCGGTTTGTCCGGGTGTTGTTTGGGTTTCTGCCGGGCTCTTCACGGACCGCGTGGCGGCTCTTTGCTGTCTTGGTTGGTTGGTTCGGTTTGTCCGGGTGTTGTTTGGGTTTCTGCCGGGCTCTTCACGGACCGCGTGGCGGCTCTTTGCTGTCTTGGTTGGTTGGTTCGGTTTGTCCGGGTGTTGTTTGGGTTTCTGCCGGGCTCTTCACGGACCGCGTGGCGGCTCTTTGCTGTCTTGGTTGGTTGGTTCGGTTTGTCCGGGTGTTGTTTGGGTTTCTGCCGGGCTCTTCACGGACCGCGTGGCGGCTCTTTGCTGTCTTGGTTGGTTGGTTCGGTTTGTCCGGGTGTTGTTTGGGTTTCTGCCGGGCTCTTCACGGACCGCGTGGCGGCTCTTTGCTGTCTTGGTTGGTTGGTTCGGTTTGTCCGGGTGTTGTTTGGGTTTCTGCCGGGCTCTTCACGGACCGCGTGGCGGCTCTTTGCTGTCTTGGTTGGTTGGTTCGGTTTGTCCGGGTGTTGTTTGGGTTTCTGCCGGGCTCTTCACGGACCGCGTGGCGGCTCTTTGCTGTCTTGGTTGGTTGGTTCGGTTTGTCCGGGTGTTGTTTGGGTTTCTGCCGGGCTCTTCACGGACCGCGCGGCGGCTCTTTGTTGTCTTGGTTGGTTGGTTCGGTTTTCCCGGGTGTTGTTTGGGTTCCTACCGGGCTCTTCACGGACTCCGTGGCGGGTCTGTGCTGTCTTGGTTGGTTGGTCCGGTTTTTCCGGGTGTTGCTTGGGTTTCTGCCGGGCTCTTCACGGACCGCGCGGCGGCTCTTTGCTGCCTTGGTTGGTTGGTTGGTTCGGTTTTTCCGGGTGTTGTTTGGGTTTCTGGCGGGCTCTTCATGGACCGCGTGGCGGCTCTTTGCTGTCTTGGTTGGTTGGTTCGGTTTTTCCGGGTGTTGTTTGGGTTTCTGCCGGGCTCTCCACGGACCGCGTGGCGGCTCTTTGCTGTCTTGGTTGGTTGGTTCGGTTTTTCCGGGTGTTGCTTGGGTTTCTGCCGGGCTCTTCACGGACCGCGTGGCGGCTCTTTTCTGTCTTTTTGTATTGGTCGGCCTTGTGCGTTGTGCTGTTGGTTTGCGTTCTGCCTGATGGGCTTGCTGCATTTTCGGCGGGCCTCCTTTTCCTCAAGGGTGGCATGCCTTGCCAGCCCTAAAGATCGCATCTGCCGCGCCTTGTATGCATGAATTTGCTTATTTTTGTACGTCTCCGCCTGCCTCAGGATCACGAGCAAGACGGAAAGAAAGAGTCACACTCACAGGCAGCCACAGGCGCTTGCAGTTTTGACAACGGCATCCCGCTGTCTCCTTTGCTCGGTGGTCAAGTCATGCTCTTCCCCTTTCTGTGTGCCCCTTAATATGTAACTCACTTGGGCGTTGATCGTTCGAGACTGAGTGAGGCCGTTCAGTTGGGCCGCCTTCGTCGTGTCCTCGAGTGAGGTCGATTTCGATTTTCGTCTTTTCGGTCAAATCGTTCGCCAGTGTTCCGGAGGGAAAGGCCAATCAAAAAAAGATCAGGAATTCAACGTCTCAACTGAAAAATAGCCCTTTGTTTTTTAACGTACGAATCCAGCAAAATGTTGAAAGCTATCTTGGCACTCCTCATTGCAGGAGTTTCAGCTGTTCCGTTTTCCTTGCCGCAGGAGCTCGTGATGGATCTCAACAAGCCTGCACAAAATACAATTAACATCATCGCAGATGCAGCTTCCTTTCTGAGGTCTTCGAGTGCACTCGAAGCTAGTGTTGCAGCCGCCCACCCAGCTGAATCCGCAGCGATGATCAAGGATACTGTAGCACGCGCTCTGAAGTTAAGACATGGCCATTCTTTAGTACCATAAAAAGCATGGAGCGTGGCTTTTTGTATGATAGATCTTTCCCGCTCAAGAGGGTCAGGGTGTAGTGAGTCAAACTCTAATAAAGGCTGCTGCGATTGCCGAAGGCCTACCAGCTGGAGAATTCGCTTGCTGGCGTGACTACTCCAAAGTCCCGAGCGCTGACTTCAATGGAATGACGCCGGCAGAAAGAGCCACTGCGGCTGCCCAGTCTGGTTATGTATTTCCGTGTGCATAGAGCGAATGCTTTTTTTGCCATGGAGGACTTCTCGCCTTGATGCGAGCCAACTGAAGTAATCGATTCAACAGCACAAAGGCAGAGATTGCATTTCACATCGAGGTGTGCCTTTCTTGTTCGAGAAGCAAAGCAAAAAGTTTGTCTTCAAGGTCATGTGGCCACAGGGCCTCTCACTGCAAGGGCTATCTCGATACTTTTTGGCTTCGTTTAAACGTCGTTTCAATCGATATTGCGTGCCACCTTGTCAACGTTTCTCAAACATGAAGTCACTAACAATGCCCGACCTCGTACCACACATGAAAAGTCTTTCTTTTTTCAACTCAACCTGAAAACATGCGAGTTTCCAGTATCATTGCCTCTTGCGCTGTCGGCGTTGTCGGCGTCGTAGGCACCGAGGTGCAAAATGCCGATGAAGCCCTTGCTCAGGCCTACAACAGCCTGATGTCATCGTTCCCTGTCGAAGATTATAAGACACAAGCTGAGGCGATCTCGTTCTTGGCGACGTCGCCGGCTTTCCAGGCGAAGATGGCGGCGATGCCGCACTGCGACTTTGGTGCTGAAGAAGGTGCCGCCATGAAAGGCGTCACTGCGTACCCAGGCGGAATCGTTGCACGCCTGTTCGGCTCAGACCTGAGTTCATTGGTCGCGAAGATGGCACCGCAGGGTCGCGGGGCGGCGGAAGTCTTGGCTGCCAACGGCCTGGCCACTGGCGCAGGCCTCGTTCAAAGCGCGATGTCAGCATTGCTAAACGTCGCTCCTCCGCTCATTGGTGCACCGGTCTGGATCAATCAGCCACTCCCGTGCATGCCTTTGGCAACTGCTTCGAACTGTGGTGGAAGCGTTCTCTATCCGATCACCGCCAGCGACTTCGCGATGGCCGACGTCACGGACAGGCAGCTTGACGGCACTATCGCTGACTTCCCGCGTTTTTATCGAAGCACAGTCGGCAAGACCAGCGACGCCGCCTACAAGGCCTGTTTCGCGGCTTACATGGGAATGCAGTGCGCTTCCGTTTTCCCGCGCTGCGCTGTGCCGATGGCACGCGAAGAGCCCAGTCCGGTCGGAAGGTTGCCCCTGTGCTTCACAAGCTGTTTGCTGACGATGACCGCGTGCCCAGGAATGTGGATCTCGGACATGAAGGACGAATGCAGTATGGTCAGTGCCCCGCCGGCCTGCTCCATGGCTATCTTCCATAACTTCCAACTGCTGCCGCCGCAGTATGAATCATTCGAGGAAACGCTCGGTGCTACCGCCGAATGTCCACAAATGCCTGCTGTCGCGTCTTCCTTGGGTCTTGGAGCTGACAGCGATATCTACACGGTTGGTGGCGCCTCCACATCTGCGTACGGCAGTGGCGCGACCTCCCTACCGAATGCGTTGTAAGCGGAAAATCGCGTGGCCTCTGAAGGATTAGCTCGTGTCATACGGATGCCGCAATAAGTGTTGTACGGAATATTCCGCTCTTGATTCGAATAGTGATAGTAGTCATTTTTGCGTAGCGTGCCTTATTGACTTCGTGTTCGCAATTTATTCTGGTCGGCTGCTTGAGCTCCAGCGAAGCATGGTGATCAAAAACCGTTTGCATGACAGTAGCCTTTTTCGCTTCGATTCGTAAGGATGTTCTTGTGATGAACTCGCGATGCTCTCGAGGTTCATCTGATGCAAACGGAATACTTACGTGTTTCCATAGCCCCGCTCATTTTTTTCGTCTACAACCAACCCTACAAACATGCGCTTCTTTCTATATTCCGCGCTCTTGGGCGCAGCCTCGGCTAGTTCCGCAAGCGATGCGGTCTTGGCCATTGTGAAGTCTTTGAGTAGTACTTCCGCTCCTACTTCAGCAGCAGCGCCCTCCACGACCAACTCAAAAGTCAAAGAAATCCAGAAGGCTTTGACGGAGGGAGCGATGGCGTTTGCGCAGGCTTCTGCTGCGCAATCTGCTGGTGCAAGCGAAGCAGCGGCTAGTCTCACTGGCGGGTCTTCGGTCTCCGGATCGAGTACAGGCGCAGCCTCTTTTCTTTCACGAGGATTGGACGCTACTCAAATTTAAGGTCATGCTTTCAATATCAAATGCGAAAGTCCCCAGATAAGTTGTCAGTCTTGCGCGAAAATTATCTGCGTCGGGGTTGACACCTTAAATCGCTCTAATGCATGGCAACGATCGCAAAAAATATTATGGGCTCAGTGAAGGTCAAGTCCGGTCGTGCCTGTGGCGCAGGGATGCCAAGCGGTGGCTGCCCAAAAACATGGTCTACATCCGGAAGCATGTGCACCCCACCGGCAGGCTACGCTGGCTACTGTGCTGGAATCCCGATGGGCCTATCTGCCGTGGAAGCTGAAGAAATGGAGATCTTCTGCGGCGTCTGCTACATGTAGGCGTGCCTGAAACTGACGATGACTGACTGAGGCCGCGCCAAATGTTGACATCTTGAGGCTCTTCGACTGTATTTGGTTGTGCTGATAAATATAAGCCGCCTTAGACTTTGTGTTATTTGCGTAACGGCTTCGATCGATCGCTCGGCCTACACTTGATTAGATAAATGAAGCTAAGTAGCTGCTTTTGTCATTTGTCGCCAATCATGTCGTTTTCCCGAGATCGCATACTATTCAACCTTTTGTATCCTGTATGAAAAATGAAACTGCATCTCACAGCCAGTACACTGTTTTCTCCGAATTTACGCAAAAATGCAGCGTGTTGGATCTCTCCTTGTGACCTTTTTCGCGGTCACCGACGCGGCAGCCCCTCTTCGGGTGAAGGTCGCTGGTGCTAATCACTATGCCGCAGGTGCAAAGGACATTGCTGCGCTCGAGAGCCGTGTGGCAAACTTCATGGCGTCTACCATGGAAAAAGCCAGCTTCCTGCAAGGCAAAGGCGGCATGGCCACTCCGGGTAGTGGTGTCAAGCATGCGCTCTTTCTGACGCAGCCGATGCGATCCCCCAGTGGAGTGAAAATCAATGTTGTAGAGAAGAAGCCAGACTCTGCAGCCTCGGCAGCTAGCGACGCACAGCAGGCGGCGTTTAACATGGAAGCCTTTGCCGCTGGACTGTCGGATCTTGCAGGGGCTGGTCGCGCATCGTTTGTGGCATCCGATTCTATCGAGACCTTGGTCAACCGTGGTGCGATGGCACGTGTCGCAACTCTCGGCGCCTATCAAACGATTTCGATGCCCGTTCATGTCCTGGCAGCGGTTGTCAAGAGCGCGTGCGGATGCGTGGATGTTTACACCGAATCTAAGTGCCTTCTGGCTGCGAATCCCGTGTGCCCGCCTCTGCACAGTCTTTTGCAACGTGCTTTCGCAATGCAGGAGCAGGTGTGGAATGGCGTGAAGTTTACGACTGATAAGGCCGGCAAGGTTGTTGGCAGCCCTCTCATTTCCAGCCCCCCCTAATTAGTCAGAAGCAAATTTGAACGTCTAAAGATGTGGAGGACAGTCTGATATAAGCTTTTGATCCTCTGTGCTTCGCAACCCCTTCTGCTCTCGCGGCGTTGTCGGGTTCTCTCGCGGTGTTGTCGGGTTTTCGTTTTGGATAGCTCGATCGGCGTGGTAGAGTCGAAGTTTCAGTGTCGTATATTGTCTTTTTACTTGAATTGGTTGCACGCATGATTTGCCATCCAAAGAAAGACTTTTTTACATCGTTCCATCACTCACGAAAATGAAATACTTTTCCGTTGTTGTGGGCGCCATTGTTGGCGCAGAAGCCGCAAAGCCGAGCTTCGCAACGGGCCAAGCGTTGGGCGCCGCTCTTTCCGAAGCGATTTCCGCCGGTGAAGGCTCGAAAATTTCGGCTGCTCTGCTTGCCGGTCAGAGTTTTCTCAAGCGTCCCTCCACACTCAATTTGCATGTCGGAGAAACTGCGCAGACAAGCTCGTCCGATCGCGCTGCAACGGCTTCTGCATTGATGGCACTGGAATCTGGCGAGGCGCGCTTTTTAGAGACGTTGTCATCCAAAGGCTCATTCCTTCGCTCGCCGCTCGCAGACTTACTTATGTCTGAAACTCAAGTGTATCCCTAAAGCGATCCAACTGAGGCGTTTGATCTAGAAATCGGAAGTTGCAGTTAGTTGGGCTCGCTATGGGATCCATCTTTTACTCCTCTAAACCCCAACGGCTCGGAGGCGAGGCAGCTGTCTTCAAAGATGCGCTCTCCTACTATTCTGGTCTTGTGGACGCTGGTGGAGTTTCCGCGCGAAAAGGCCTCGTCGGGTTGTTGCAGCTGGCCAGTTTGCCAAACGCGCGCGTGCCGATGGCGACAGTGCTCTTCAAGTGCTCTCAATTGGCCAAGAAAGAAAGCACATCAGATGCTGACCGTGAACTTGCTGGCTCCATCATCACTTACCTGACCAACATGCCAGTGGCTTTCCAATCCAGCGACGTTGCGTCGGGATCGTATGGCCATACCAACATCGTGCTGCCGGCTCCAAGCCGCGTCTACGGCACAGGTGCCTAAGCGCAGGGCTCTCAAGCCGCTATAGAATGCAGCATGAGGCTGATGGTCACCCAACAATCACTCAAGGATTCTGGATAGCATGAAGGAGTACCCTGAAATAAATTTCTCATCTCGTTTCTGTTCATCGTAACTTATGAAAGTGAACATCAACCGCCAGAGCGGAGGTGGTGCCCATTGGATTTCAACTCAGTATTCATGAATATATTGGATTTCATCTTCAGTTTCTCGAGCGACTCTCCTTAGTCTTTTTTTCTTTCACGTGCAAAACAACAAAGATGGTGCGAAATAGCCTGCTGCTCTTCGTGCTGGGATTCATCGTGCCTGCTATGGCCTTCAAAGACATCAGCAGCCATTCCGGTGCTGGCCCTGTGGAAGTCATTACGGTGGCGACGGAAAGTGGTGTTCCGGATGCTTTTGCTGCGCGAAGAAACGCGGAAGCTCGCCGCGCCGAGACAGCCGCACTAGCCGCTGTTGCGAATACGCGCTCGCGGGCTTACCGCAACCTGGAGCAAATGCTGACCACAGAGCGTCTTTCTGCAGCACAGCTCGGCTGATTTCCATGACCCCGACACTTCGCGTTCGCCCACAGCTTGCCTGTCGATCACAGTGTTTACAACACGACAAAATAATACGCTCAGCTACAATATCAACACTTTTATGGCTTCGTCCCAAGTGTTCTAATCAGATAATCGCGTCGGTTACATTCGTTGATTGACGGCATGTCTACCTTTAGTGATCGTCACCCCAAAAAAGTGACGCATTCCCAAAGATCCGCCTTGCTTCATCTCCGTTCCCGATAAAAACTAGTATTTCTTTCTTTTAGAAATCAACATCGCTTGAAAATGGGCTTCAAGTCTTTGTGCGCCTTCGCTGTAGGCTCGTACGCCGCAGTCGAAGCTGCGAAGCCGGTTGTCGAGTTGTCGATTGCATCCCCTTCTACCCCGTTTCCGGCCGTCTCGGATGCTATCGCTAGCGCCGAAGCGTCGCGTGCTGCTGCCCTTCGACAGGCGTCTGCGGAGGTCGATCAGGCATACAAAGAAACCTTGGCGCAGGCCTCGGTAACACTCGGCAACACGATCGCAAAGGCCATTGGACGTACATCCTTTGCAAATATTGCCGAGCCAACAATTTCAGTTTCGCTTGCCAAATCTGCTTCCGATGAAGCTGCGGGAGCCTCAGCTGTGAAGTCTGTGGAGGGAAAGCGCGCTGGAGCTGCGGGCGCCCTTGTCGCGTCAGCCAAGAAAGAGTTTCAGGAGGTTGCGAAAGTCGTGATCGCGGAGTTCGAGCGCCAAGTGAAAGGCAAGGCTAGCTTTCTGCGCTTTTCGCGTGAGATTAACGTTCGCGCCGTCGCTGACCCAAGTTATGCAACCATCTCAGGCTTGATCCAAGGTATGGAATCTCGCCGAGACTCTGAGGAGTCGCGACTTCGCAGTCAAATTCTTCTTCGCGAGCTCGACTTGGTCCGCGCTCTTAACCGAGTTGGCGCATCAGCCTTGTCTCAGTAATCGGCGCCTTCTTCGATAGAAGCGTGACAACTTGAATAGATAGCGCTGCTGTGAATATTGTGCCATCAAGTAGGATAGAATGAATTTACCCTTCATGCCAAAGCTCAATCGTCTGCTCGCACAGGCATGCACTGTTCTCACTGACTCATGTGCAACAAGTCTCGCTCGTGTGGTCTTTATCAATTAATCATTGCCTAGCATCCATAATGCCTATTATTCAATACCTGTATTATTCAATACCTGTCTTTGTAAAAATAAAGTAGTCTTTGTTTCTCGTACAAAAAAAGCAAAATTATGTTCGCACGCGTCGCAACCTGCGCTGCCCTCCTCGGGGCTCACGGCGTTTTCGCCGATACTGAGCCGCTGATTGAAATAGCGCTGGCTCCCCCTGTTGGAGGGTCTGCGGGCTTCGAAAACTTCGCGAAGCAAGAAGCCTCGATGGAGGCATCTGCTCTTCAGTCGCTGTCCGGAGCATACCAAAGTGCCATCGCCGCTGCCAAGCAGCAAATCGATGCGGCTATCAAAGGTTCCTTTCTCCAGAAGAGATCTGACGAGATCTTTGTGCGCGTGCTTGATGCGCCGGCACCTGCGAGCCTCGGACGAGCAGAAGCCATGGAAGGCATGCGACAGAAGATGGAGAGTGCCTCTATCGCGCAAGCCGTAAGTGAGTTCGATAGCTTGACGAAGGTCGTGGTCGGTGAATTGCGCAACGCTCTCCACAGCAGCTTCCTCCGCGGCGGTGAGATTGGTGTCAAAGTTAAGGCATCGGACATCCCCTTCGCCAGCACCCTCGATCTCTTGCGAGCACACGAGACGGGCCGCGACATGTCAGAGGAAAAGTTGCAGTCGAAAGTTTTGGACATGCAAATCGCGTTTGTGAAGACGCTTAATGGCATGATTGCCGCTGCTCTCGCCTAAATCTTCTAGGTGGGAAGGATTTTTCCATGGATTTGATGACAAATACTACTCAGAGATACTCGACAACGGATCCATTCAGAATTGTGGCGAAAGCGACTATAGCTATCCGAAATTCATCGTCCGCTGAATTTTTCGAATGTTCGTGAACTCGCACAAGTGTCACCGCTCGTTGTCTTAAATGTGTACCTAGCAGTCATCTATGCCTAGCAGACGAGCGCTCTTTTAGTTCTTTATTCTGCAAAGTCCGATTAAGTAGTTTTTTTCCGCGTGATCTATCGACAAGATGTTTCTGCGAACTTTGGTTGCCATGATCGGAGCCGCGCTCCTCACAGGCGTAAATGCCCAAAGGGATCCGACACTGGACGATATTGCTACCGCGGCTGCGGCCTACCGTCAGGCGGGACAGGCATATTTGCAAGCGAGCAAGAGCGCAGCAGCAGCTGCTGCCGGGGGGTCCGGCTGCGTGAGGGACGAGGCGACGGGAGCTTGCACGTCTTTCCTGAAGTCTCGCTCTCCAATTGCGGGTGGCGTGATGCGTGGACTCATCGCACGAGTCATGGGCGCTGATGCTGCTGACACCCCAGAGCGTCTGACGCAATCACCGATCGTGCAGATGCACTTGCACGCCTGATAAGTGCGCTACAATGTTGACACTAGCTCATGGTCATGTCTCGTCGCTGTAAGGCTCGATGTGTCGAATCTATCATTAGAATTATGCTCCACGCTGAATGAGATCAATGTGCTAAAGTGTTCTGATTCCTCGCTATCAAAGAGGCGGCTCTCGTGCACGTATACTAGCTTAAAACCGTATTAAGTACTTCGTGTTTTTGATCAAGTATTGATCAAGTCGGTTGACGTCTTCATAATGCTGAAACACAACTCTCTCTTAGCTGATTTGTTTTTTGGAAACGTCAAAAATGATGCGCATTTTGGGACTATGCTGCCTTTTCGGCGGCGCCGCTGCTTCGGTGTATCCTGGAAATGCCGCTGCAGCAGAAGGTGTTATCAGCGGTGCTTTAAAGAGCGCGGCTTCAGCGTTTGCTGCCAGTGGCAACGGTGCGGCTAACGAAGCAAAAATGATTGCTGCGTCAACCCAGGCACTTGCGGAGTCCGTTTCTTCAGCTATGAGTCTCGATGCCCTGAAAAAGGACGCTTTTATCATGGCCCATGTTGCAGCACGCAAATTTCTCGCCACCGGTGGCTGTGCACGAGACTTTTCCGGGTGCCCCGCAGGATTCGTTGCGGACGCCGGTACTTGTACTCCGGGTATGTACGACGGAACGTGTGGCGCTTTTAGCGCATCTATGGATGCCGCGACAAAGGCGGAATGGAGCTGGAAGTGTGGCGCTAGCTGGCCTTGTGCTTAATTTGTCTGCTTGCCAGTGAATAGCAGACGATTGCGATGTTTAAACTAGTATTTGGAAGTCCTGATAGCGCGTCGCCTGAGTCGAGTTCTGACGAAAGTCGGATTTTGTCGCCTCTTGAACTTAGATGTTCTCCCACGATTGACTGCATCGACTCGTCGTGTCTCTCATCGTAGTCTGATACTTGTCGATCCCTAAAAGTACATCATCAGCAAATCAAGTCAGGTTCTCTCTCAAACAAAAGATTAAGTTTCTTTGAAAATCAATAACGATGGGTATCCGAGTCTTCTCTGCCTTCGTTGCTGTGGCGCTGGGCGCGCGCCACGCCGCTGCATACACAGCAAGCAACTCTCCGTACATGCCTGGCAACTGGAATCTTCCGACCGCAGGCACTGAGGTATTTGGCGCTGATGTTGCAAAATCTCTTCCGGAAATCTATGTTCGTTTTCAACTTCCAGAAGTTTCAGCGCAAGCGCTTGCCGCCGATGTCGAAAGCACAAGCGAGATTGATTCGCGAATCCACGCTATCGCCCAGGAGCTTGCAGCAGACAAGAATTTAATTGGCATGATGGCACCGTCTTCATTTTTGCGTAAGGGAGACGCCGATATTTTTGCAGCTATGAACGCCGTGAAGGGGGGATCCTCCGGGGGTTTTCCAGGCATGGAAGCTTGGAGCGAGTTCATGGCGGGTGTAGCACATTCTCCCCGCCCACATGTGTCTCAAGCGGCGACCGCTTCTGGCTGTTGCTAAATCCGGAGACACTCTTGATGACACTCTAATGGCTCTATTTTGATGTGGGAAAAGATGTCGCGGCATAGCGCGTTTTTGAACGAGAGGGTTTCCTTCAAAGCTTGTGTTTCGGGCTCTTTTACTCATCTTCCCATTTTCAGCTGTACTCTCACTTCCGGCTGTACTCGTTGCGCCCAGGGCTAAACTAATCGTTGGGGCCCAAATAGGTTGTCATGGATTCGCTCGCGAAAGTGGTCTTCGAAAGCAGAAAGAGGCTTGCTGGGTTCGAATCCTAACGATTATTTGACTCTCAAAAGCCCTACTAAACCACAGACGTTTTTTTTCTTAAGTCGCTTTCTTCTCGCAAAGATGATGTCCACGCGCCTTTTCGTGGCTGCTTGCCTGGCATCGTCAGCACAGGCGGTTCGGATGATGGCAATCCCGGACCCTATCTCTGTCTTACCTCCTGGAGTTGCTGGAGGTATCGCTGCAGCGGTCTCGGACGACACCCCGTACATCCTAAATTTGATGCCGCCAACAGAAGACGGCGCAGCCATGAATGGTCTCATAGACTCTTTTGCGGGGATCGAGAAATCTCACGAGCAAGCCATTGAGGCACAGGCAGTTGCAGACAAGCAGCGTCTTCTTGCCGCTGAATTGCAAAAAGTAAGGAGCATCGTCGCAGCGAAGCACTCTGCTTTTTTGCAGTCCCCTCTTGCTCCAAAAGCTGATCATGCCTTCGTTTTGCATACGCCATCAGAATCAGCCTCCGATATTTCTGGTTCGGTTAACTCCATCATGAAAGTTGAGACAGCAATCGCGCAAGAAGCGGAAAGCGGTGCCGCGGCCATGAAGAAAGCGTTGCTTGCCCACGAAATCGCAGCTATCGGCTCGATTGTCCGTGGGGCTTTTCACTAGATTTACAGACATTGCGCATTGGTTTGCCTCGATGACTGAACAATAAAGAAAAACCTAGTTGTCGTCACCTGTGTACCTTGGCAATCCGATGAGTTTGTTCTAGTGTTTCGTCCGATGGAAGAGCATCCTCGTACTATCATCGTTTTTGATCGTTCGAACTGCGCATCTCCAAGGATGATCAGTTTGTCTTCCGCACCTACAAAGATAATCTTGCATCACCGGAATAATGAATTTCGCAGACTTTTTTGTTTTGTTTATTGTCAATCACGACGTAAACTACCCCCAACAAGATGGCGTGCAAAGCCGTAATCCTCTCCCTCGCAGCGGGTGCCGCAGCTCTGGAGCCATTCGTCCCCCCAATCGCCGTGCAGGATGTGATGCAGGCCTCCTTGCCGAATGTGGTTGACATTCACTACGACGTACCGCAGGGATTCTCCGCAGATATGACCGCCATCGCCGACTCGGCGGCGCGTTCCACATTGTACGGGCGTACTTCGTTTCTGAAAAAAGGCACGACAGACGTTTACTACGAAAAGCCTGCGTCGCCATCCGCTCTGGAAGCTAGCTACCAGGCAATCCTATCTCAAGTGAAAGCCAACATCAAGGCAAAGTTTGACGCAATGTCCGGTGCCTCGTTTCTTAGTGCTGCCCCGTCCGTGAATGTCTTTGTGGGAGAGGGAAAAGGCATGAACGTCGACATGGCACGATTAACGATGGATGCCTACGCATATGCTGGTGAGCTTATGGCCGGTGCTCGGACGAGTTTCTTGGCCGGAGACGACGTGCCACACCCGCTCCCGGTACTCAACATTGATGTGACAACTCCAGCATTCGTCTCTTCTGAGGCGATGACGCAGTCCCAAGCAGAAGCTGCGGCAATCGCAAAACTCCAAAGTGAGTTGGCCGGCTTGAGCCACTAGATATTTTCATTGACGATCCGCATGACTGCTAACATCTGATAGCTTGAAGCCTGTGCTTGTGAGACACTTAATAAAGGAGTGAACCCAAACGCTGAATTTTCTGAGTCTTAAAGTGGCTCTGGTGTTCATGGTATCCCCTTGTGCAATTGATCGGTCCTGGTATGGATGAAATGTTACAACTGGTTATCATTACTAGAAAAAGTTATCGCTCGTTGTCAAGCAACTACCAGTGCAAGGCATTCCAAAAAATGGTCTTCGTTAATCGCAAAGTGCCGTCCTCTCGGCGTCCGTCATATCGTGGCTTCCCTCTCTGCCTGAGCAAAGGCTGCGCCGTCAGCATCATCTGTTGCTGCGTGCAAGCATCGCCCTTCTCCGATACCGCGGCGACGCTCGCAGTGCGACGCCACCCGCTCCAAAGTCGTTTTCTTGTGCCTCCGACCGATGACTCAGGAAGCCCACGAATTCGACTGATCACCAAGGTGACTCTTGCGTGTCCGGAAGTGGAGTCGACTGTGGGTACTGCAACGTCACCATCGTCTCATGAGAAGAATCCTGGTGATGAGCCCACCATGTGGTTTCTCGCCGAGGACGTTTCTGATTACGACGTACTAGTGCGTCATCGATGGCAGACTCGCGGTAATGCTTCTTTTTGTGATGCCTCTGTTGTAGAAAAGCTTCTACGCGGACTGTATAGTGAACCTTCTCAGTGCAGACCTTCAGATTGCTGCAAACTCTGAAGAGTAGAAAGTGTTCACTCGATGATCATGCGGAAAAAGAAGTAGAAGTAATCTCGTATTGTTCCTACGTGTTTCTGGAACCCAAAGCCACCATATAATTTCTGAAGTTCATGAACCTATTCTTCTCGGAGGAAAGTCTCTCGTAGTTCGGTATGAAATTTCATGCGAATACAACTCGTAAACAGGCGGACGAGCCGTGAAGAGGATGCTGGGTTACCGACAGGAGAGTGCAGTCCGAGCTTTCAAGGTATCAAGCGAGGAGCTAGCTGATAAATGGGAGCGTGTTATAGAAAATAGCGCACTTGAGCTGCCTAATGCGCAGCGCACCACTCTACGAAGCCTGTTTCTGGAACCCACAGATGACGGCTTCATCGACCAACGTATACACGCTACTCGCACTGGTGAGGTAGAATCAACACGCGCTGAAAGCTCATCCCTACTATCAACCCTTCTCGAAGACGAAGATATAGACACCGGAAGAGAAACTGGCACATCATCACTTGACACAAGGATAACCGACTCCGCAGAGTCAGAAAAAATTACGCCCGATTATAGAAATGCGATTTCGGAAGTTGGAACAAGCACTGGTGCAACATTCAATCGAAAGAACAATGCTCACGAAAATGCGCAAAAAGAAGGACTCAATACCAATATAGGAGTATCCCGAAGGATCCTTTCTCTGTGTCCCGGACGTTTTCAATACGCAGATATCAAAGAACCTAGCAGCACTTGCGGTGTCCAATATTCTTCTATAGCGTTTGATGTTGTTCGCGGCAAGCAGGCAAAAGCACTTGCTGTCCTGCTTCAACAGAGCTTACCAAAGAAGTTCATGACTTCCCAGATCAGGAATGGCTCATTTAGCGAAAACATCGCGGAGGCACAATCAACTACAAACTTGTCTGCCAGAATCTGGCATTCCGAAAATGGCATTAGTCCTCTGGAAACCGTTCAGTCAAAAACGCACCAGAGAGAGGAATTGGATGGGGGTAGCACAATGGGGCCTGGGACAAAAGATAGACCACCGATGCCGCGACTGAGCTTCATCCTACGAGACGATCATATCGGGCAGCGTGATGTCCTGGACGAGAAAGTGCTTGAATGTCTTCTGGAGAATTACAGTGACGCCGGACCTTTACAGACAGCGTTTGACGATGTTCCAAAATGCATTCCTGTCATCTGGGGCGCCCGCAACCTTGATCACTTGCTAATGGGGCATCTGTTTATTGATGTTGCAGATTTCGCCACCCTAGAGGCAATGTTCCTCTTTCTTGGGCTCTACTCAATTACGGCCACAACCGAAGCAACTGACGCGAGTTCAAAATATCGCTCTGCTGTGATCCCCAACGCAAGAACAGTCCGAGATGCCGCACATGTCCTTCAGCTGGTCGCTCTTCGCACCTTACCTGCCGAAACAAGGCCACCGCCATTGCCATATTTTCACTTCCTCTATATTCTTGGCAATCGCACGTCAACAGGCTTCTCGACGAAATTGTGTTCATCTTCCGGAATCGAGTCACGGGATGCTGCCGAGCAATCAAATTATACCATACCCCATTCTGATTTGTCCAGCACACTAAAGGCTCTTGCTCGGGAAGCGACCCGGTACGTAGGGTACGACCTCACCTCCGACACTTCCCACCGTTCGCAATCGACTTTGTCGTATGGCAGGGTAATGAAATAGTTTCTACCAAAGTTCTAGTACAAGTTTGAACTGGGAAATGCATTCCACACGATAGACAGTACTCCGTAGAATCAGGGGAATGTTTTGGACACTGAATAGAATAAGACAAAAAAGAGTATATGTAGGTGCGTTTCTGAGCACCCTGATGTAAATTGATCTGCTCCACATACCCCTGACAGGGGTGATAAACATTGTTTTCTGCTGCAATTTTAATCCCCCTTTTAGCCCTCATGCATCCGGTGTGATGGCCTTGCGCCAAGGCATGCCGGTGACGAAAGCGCAGCTTTTTTCACGCAAAATCCTTGGTGCTCTTCGCGAAGAGCGACGTGAGAGACAAGCTTCTTCATCCAGAGACGAGCATCATGCAACGGCACTCCCAGCGAACGGCGAGGCAGCTCCAATTTTCCAACGGAGGGACCTGAGTGGCACTGGTAGCGAAATTCTCGGAAGACACGGTCAAAAGCCTGGTGAAGGCTTTGACATGCAACTTTTTCATAGTACAATTGCGAAGCAGGCTGTGCAAAACGCACACCGCGGTGAGTCCTTCTTCTTGTCGCTTCCGGGTGACAACACGCGCTCTTTTGCCTCCGCAGTAGGACCGTCTGAGAAAGATATAACCGCAACCTTTCAGCGAAGCGAGTACGCCCATTTGCAGGTCTGTCAAATGCCGTGTCCGCTGGACGAGATGCCAAAGACTGTTCTCCGCGTTGCAACAAAACGAGACGTGCCCACCTCGACTACGCCTTTAAATGCAGCTGCATTCGGCATAGATGAGACTTCACCAAGACCCCTTCTACCAATTGATTTCTATTTCCGCGAGTTCTTTGCTGAGTTCCGCAGCGCAGGCTCCGCTGAGGGCGCTCTGTCCTCTGTTTCACACTCGAACTCGAGTAAAGACAGCAACCTTGGAGAGACGATGGCCGCCTATCTGAATATTTTAGAAAAAGCTGCAAGAAAGACCAGGACGAAGGACTCCTTGATGCCTCAATCTCCAATACACTCTAGTACCGAACAGCTTGAACCCGAACATGACTCCTTCACTGTGCCTTCGCTGCCCCTACATAATAACACCGGAACAAGTGTGCTTTTCGGGTTCTCGTTGGATCACTTGAAGATACAATCGGAGCAAAGCGATGACAAGTCAAGCACCAAAACGGCGCCACGCACGACTCTGGGGTCATCAATCGTGATGCGGACATTCTGTAACTGTACTGATGCTGGGGAGCCGACGCTATTCTCAGCTACCAATGAACTACTCCACACCGGGGAAGAATCCAACAGAGTAGTGAGATTGGTCCAAGTGCCACTAGCTCTTTGTGCACAAGTATTCGTATCCAACAATACAGCCGCCAGTCACCATCAACATCTCGAAGAGGCTTCATCGCGTCATCGAGATCTCGAGACTCTTTCCACACAGGACAAATCCTCAGAAGAGAATCCACATCCCTCCACTAGCATGGACACTGCAGCATCTCCTGTAGCCTCCTCTCCTGAAGCCGGAGCGGACATCCTCCACTTCCTGCAAGAAAAAGCGCGCCTTGAGCTCGGTCTCCACAGGCTCCAAAACTTTGTGCTACAGTTCCTGCATACTTTACACAATCATCTCGCCTTCTGCACACACGTTACCACCGGCACGACATCGAGTGGGCAACAGAGTACAGACCTTGTGGACATTAAGAGGACATACAGCAATTAGAGTAGATAGCCAGATCTTCTCTACTTCCTTCAAACATGAGGATGAGACTCTTCTTTGATTAAAAGTGATGTTTGTGGAGATTGAAATATCTCCGAGACGGTCTTTCTTTGTGCGATTGCAGTCCTGTGCAGTAAGTATGTTGTCTCAGGGTGTGCGTACAAGGACATACCGAGCTGGTAGTTTTTACCAATGGACTTCCCTATCGATGACAATTATCATAAACATTCGACTACTTTTTCGGCCCGCTTTGTGCCGCAATCGAAGCGTTCATGACCTTCTGCGTCTTCCTGGCTGCGTTGAACGAGCGCGTAAAGTGCCTACTGGGCCGTCGGATACAAGATCAGGCACGAACTGGCTTCTTCGACGTTTCGCCTTTGTGGAAGGTCAGCTCTTCGCAGATCCGTCTGCAAAAGCAGCGCATTGCGCAAGATTCTCACGAAAGTGTTCGGACCAGTGATAATCTGTCTCGTGCGACTCCGGAAAGAGAAAGTACTGTCACTACTCACGGGAGCAGTCGACGTCTCCAAGAAGATGACCAAGAAGAGGCAGCATCTTTTTATGTTTTCGCACGACAGGAGGAAAGGTTAGCCTACTTGCGGATCTTCGAATCCGAGCTCGAGTCCGTTCAACACCACTTACGTGGGTGCCTCGAGTTTGCTCACCGTGTCGTGGACGCAGTGTATCTCGCGGCTCTTGGCGACACATTATCTTGGCTCGCAGTGTCGCAACCCACGACTTATGCTTGTTGTAATTGACTGTACTGATCACTGATTAAAACCACTTTGAAACAAGAGTTTTGTAGCTATGGAGTCCTGATGAAATTTCCGACTACGAGCGTTGCCTTTGTTGTGCCCAGGTATGAGAAACCCCCGCATCATGTACTAGAAGAGGATACTTCCTGATCTAAAGTAACGGGCTAGACCAGTCCAGAATTGTGAACGAATGAATGTGATGTGCGACTTCCATCTCTGCAATAGACCTTGTTTACTTCGGGTCCATATCCTGGTCTGAGTTGGAGGCTCAATCAAATGTACAACATGACCATGTTCCCTCTTTCATTTTGATACAGACATGACCATGCTCCCTCTTTCATTTTGATACAGACACGGAGGCATCGGGCACTGTCGTGGAGGCATTTTCTCCAGTGAAGCAAGCATCTGTGCGCAGGATTGAGCACATACTCGGACATGTCGCCAGCGGCGGCGGAGCTGTGCGCGCGCTGACGTACGCACCTGTCGAAGAAAATTATCCAGAAGAGCTTGCTGGCCCCGTGGCAGCCTCGAAAGACACATCTTCCTCACCAGGAGACGGCATGCCGAAGGACCCTTCCTCTGGTAACTTTAACACCCCTCATCTCGAATCAGAAGTGCGGATGCTCCTCGTAGTAGGATACCAGCGCTACAGCCTTGTTGTGCGGCAGGTGAGGGACACTAAGGTGGCAGCTGCAAAACCTAACCGACCCGACCATGAGTCGGATGTTACAGGAGCATCCGTGCAATTATTGCTCCGTCCGCATGTTGGTTCAACCTTGAAGAAGTGGATGGCAGTTCAGCGCCTGCTCTTAAGCGCGAAAAATAAGAAAATGATCGTTAGTTAGTTACAATGTAGCTACGGTAATTCCAAAAAGAGCCGATCACATCTACAACGGGCTACAATCGTGACGAAACTACTACTCTACAGAGGAGGAATTTTTAAATCCTTGTTTGCTTGAATCCACAACATCTATGTATAATTCGGACGAAACTATTTTGTGTATTAATTAATGCCTAGATAAGCAGTCCGCTACGTGAAAATGATCTGATGGGATATCGAGTGACTCTGCTTTGTTTGTCTGGTACACTTGCGACTCGCATGGATTCATTCGCCGCAAACTTGCCTCTTGTCGGACGGTCAGTTTTGGATATCGGCGCAAATGGAGCACTGTACAGTCTTACAGCACTTCTGCATGGGCGGGCGAAGTCGGTGACCATGTTCGAGCCCGATGCCCGCTTCTGGTCCACTGTGTACGCAGAGCTTGTGCGCTTCCTAAACGAGTCTTCTCTTGCGCACCTGCTACCGAGTCTTCGCCTTTTCTGCGAAGAGGCGAAAAAGGAATTTGCTGACGAGAAGGGTCACCCAGAAAATTACCTTGGGTCGACCCCGTCATTCGTAAAATTGCCGCTCCAAGAGGCACTTGTGCGTTCCAACATTGATCCATACAATGTGAGCAATACGAAGCAAAATTCTAGTATGGGACGGGTAATCACTGCATCCTCTTTGTGGCTGACAACACACCAGGTGCCCACGCACGACGTCGTTTTTGCTCTTGCTTCCGTGCATTGGTTCCGAGCTTGCACAGCTTATGCTTGACTGTATTTACCTAAGCGATCACTGTTCCGTAAAGCGCAGCCGCTTTTTTCAATTTCAACTATGCTGAATGAATAGTTTGAACAGGAAATGTAGGACCAGTTAGGCCATGACTTACTCAGCCCTAGTCTTTATGCCCGGTATCTGAGGTTCTTCTGGAAAGAGGTCCTAAAGTTCTGTAGGTGACAAGCCTCAAGTTTCATGCAATCCATCACAAGTCCGTGCGCAATGTAGTGCGTTTGCTGGCTTCCCTCGCACGTGAAAGCTTGCTTGTGGAGTGGGTACCCAAAGAGGAGCAACCAGCCGCTGGTGCTCCAGATGAAGAGATTTTTCTTCGAAACAAGCTGCACGTCATCCCGCCAGATGCATACGCCGGCTGGACAGAGGAAGAGTTATGGTTGGATAGGGGCGTAAAATTCATGCTGTACCGAACACGAAAGATAAAATCACTAGAAATGTCTAGCTGTGGCACGAACTAGAATGGAGAAACAAGGGAGCATGGACGATACCAAAACGAGACTTCGAAAAGTCAAGGGATGACTCATAATTCAGGTGTTTTGTACTAGAATCGGCGCAACGCGAAATGATAAAACTTTACCCCTTCATCATCCTTTCTACATGCCATGCGGGAGGACTTCTCCACTGTGCAACTGCTGGAGGACTTGGGCGGTGGCCGGAAGCTCTTCTTCGCATCAGCGAAACTTATGCAAAATCCGGGCAGTACACAAGGCTTCTAGCATGAGCAGAACTACATTCTCCATCTAGGTTGGGCAAGCATCACGTTTTGCACGAACACAAGTCACAAAACATATTCCGACGCAGCGTCGTATGACAATGCTCAATGTTCTGCCAAGTCATCGTGGATGGGCTCAGAAGCTACTTTTCTCGGTTTAACGGAAGCGGAACGCCCTATTTAGCCATCAAAGACACATTTCTGCATTCAGATCTCCGCATCTGCACCAGAACTGGTCAGAATGTGAACCGAACATGCATACTTTACGTTCTTGTGAGAACTGGTGACTGCTGGCATAGAGAGCGTTAAACACGCCTCTGTGAATCTTCAGGTGACAACAGCTTTGGACAGGTGATGGCCTCCTTGGAGAATACAGATGAACAGGCTGAGGCACAAGCAAGCTATGTGAAAAATGGCGACGGTCTTGTAAGGATGTTTTCAAGAACTACAACATGAGGCCAGTGTAGCTGCCAGCTTTGCCTGCCATGGCGCAACGAAGATGTTTTTCGCGCGTGAAAAAGCTCAAACTACACCTACCGAAGGACCGCGACAAATTAAAAGCGAATAGATGTAGCGATTACAAAAGCTGAAGCTCCATTGATTGACATGCCCCAATAAAGAGCGACAGACTGCGCAGCGCCTAGTCATACATGAAGCCCTTGCTTCCAAGAAGGGAAAATAGTATGATGGATCAAAGTGTCTAAGTACAGAAAACACGCGTATACCTGTCTTTCCTACGGTAATCCATTGTTCACTGACACTCTGCAATTGTAGTGACTACCAAAAACTGCAAAGCCCCGTGCCTTGCGGTTCTGTGTAGCTCTCGAACAAGAGCACGCTAGGCAAGAAAATTCTACCGCGCCTGTCGGTTTTGTATTGTCCTCGTCATGTGAAGTGCGCACCACTCATAGTTGATGTATGAGCAAAGAAATAGCCAGATGGAGGTAAGACGAGACAGAGGGGTAGCACGACGAGTGAGAAGAAACTATAAAGGCTTGCGGGACAGCTCATACGCGCGTTCTTAAAGGCAGTCGTGCGGTATGAAGACTTGCCCGATGGTTGTCTCTTCAAACCAATCTGTTTTGTCCGTTCGAAGTATGTATTTTCAGTCGGCGTTCTACGAGTTTATCACTCAAAATGCATGACCGAAGAAGAACATTCTGATGCTCAAAAGAATAGAACCGCGTGCTGCTTTTTACGTGTTGATTTCTCGAGCCTGACGGTTTTGCCATCAATCGTTTTTCGTCTCTGCCGCTCTCGTGAGCACACATCTTTGGGTTTGCAAAGCACGCACTCTCCTTTCGCAACAACAACTGTCGATGCCACTGTGGACGACAGATGGCACCGTGACTGGCATTGGCTTCTCGCTCGCATGTTGGCTGTAGCACAAAAACATCCGCTAAGCGCCTCACGGCAGTGATAAGCGGCTAATGGGAATACAAATTGAAGGCATTCCGTGGCCAAGAGATTGGGGATGCGATCTTTCGGTTGTACGCCGCTATCCGGCGCTCTTCGTCTGTCTGCGAAGCCTACTTTCGATATAAGGCTACACTATTTGACTTTCCTGAGACTACATATACCATACATAGGTACAACAATTCAACCCTTTTCTTCCCGTTGCACAGGAACAGTGACGTTGTCCGAACCACCGGATGTCCATGGGCAAAGTAGTAGAAGAAGCAACTCACTCATCTGATTATTTACTCCATAATTCACACCGAGATGTCCGAGTCAATAAACATAGAATCTAACATGCGTGGTTTCCGGACTTTTACCACGAAAGGGAGCTGGCTTTGAAGCAGCTGGCGAATGACCTTGATTCCCGCAGTCAAATAGAAATCCAATCGCGATCAAGCGGCACTGGCTTGCAGCACGGATTGTGGTCGACAGAATGGACACCGGAAACGAGAAAATCAGTCTCGACAAGGCATTTTGAACGGGATAGCACAGCTGTGATGCTCGGAAACTCAGCTTTGCCCGATCGTGACCGAGGATACAAGGACATGCATCGGCGCATTGCCAAAGAGAGTCGCGCACGATTTAACCGAAACCATAGCGAAACCAACAGTGAATTGGATCCGCATGCGAGCAACGCAGCGTCACAGCTACACAGCAACAATGGATCTGCCTCATCTGGGCCCATCCGCTTCTGGACCGAGTTTCAAGGCATTCGTACACTCCCAGACTTCAATAGCAGCTTCTGTGAAACATACGTTTTTCAATGGGGGAGGCACCACCAGAAAGGTCAGGAGTCTAAAGTAGAGCATCTGGCACGTGAGGAGTGCCCTGTCCTCTTATGTTCTTGGAGGTTACTTTTAGGTCAGTATATATCTCAGTATATACAACCAAAGAAGGCACTAACTGGTCCTCTGTGACGAGGCAACAGTATAAATTCCGATCCAAATCACAAAAAGATTATCCCAATCGCTGTGTCTGATGTTCATGTGTGGTTCATTCTTCGCCTCAACCTTGGATAGCGAGTCCTCCAAAAATGGACTGTAGAGTCAGTCCCTCTCATACTGTCGGTCGCTCGCGAGTGTAATGGCACTATCAGAAAATTTGCAGCACCAAGGCCGCGAGGCAATGAAGTCAGCAGAGTACATGAAGAGTCGCGACGTTTTTGTGGGTATTTTTCTGGCGAACTTCTTCGGAAAGGGCTTATGGGAATCTCAGAGCTACTTCCAATACACTGGCTGGCCCGCACCATTCACCACCTTTCTCTTTTATGCTTGGGATGTTCCAAATGTTCGTCTAACTTCCAGAACCAATACTCGGCTCGTTATTTCTTCCGCTGTAATATGTCTGTTTAGAAGTCCTGCATATACTTGTTGTTTAGAAAGCTCGTATTGGATAAACAAATTCACACTTGTTCTCGGGTCCGAAGAGTAGTACTCGCTGAGCAAATTGCATCAGCATAAAAGATTTACCCTTCTCTTCATGCCTCGGTCCAGCTCTTCGACTGCGTCGGGTGGGAAAGTAGCCTCGATGAGCATGACATCGATCGCGAGGCCGGCGCAGTAAAGCCAGCGCGCATTGCCGTTACTGTTATGCTACTTTTCTACATCAGTCCGCTAGCCATTACTGTGACACAGCCGCAACAAGTACTTTATTCGCCTAATAGCCCCACTGTGAAGATGGAACCACATTCGCCATGAAACCAGACCTAGAACTCAATAGACGTACTAGACTTCGCCCTAAAGCCCAAGATCGCCCTAAGAGCATGCTTCTGGCATATCAGCTGCTGTTTGCTACGAGTCAGTATTACCCAACGAGCGATTGTGACATTGAAAATCCACGCTAGCTAGCTACGGCTCTCATCTAGATTGGAGATGTACTAGAACTAGGCTCTAACTTCAACCCCTCGAGCCAATGGATGGGAGGAAGCTTTCGCATTCGGCGTCGTGAACAGCTGGTCACCGGTTTCGGCAGTTCTTGGAGTGAGCACCAGACTAGGCTGGTTTTGGGGGCTACGCCGGATCCTGTAGAGCCAGCCCTTGAAAAAGACACCAGCGGGGCGACTACTGCGACGGCGCCTACACAGGAGACATCAAAAAGTAAGCAGACAGGCGCGAAGTTACAACAAGCATTTGCAGATGGCGCGTTTACAACGGGGTTACAAGCGGGTTATAGCCAACCACGAACGCCGATTTTGCAGTTTTCTTTCCTGCAGAATCTGCAGCAAACCTTTTCAACCGACGCTGGAAAGCCCACCTCCGAAGAAGCTACCTTTGTGCTTCCACCGCTTAAGAAAGATTTTGTATCTATCATCGATACAGCTTACACCCTTTTTCTGCTGGATGAGTATCAGGTGAGCCGAAGTCTGCCAACAACTGCATTGCTGAGCCAAATCCTTCAAGATCTGTTGGGCAACGAGGCACACGAAGGCTCCTCGGTACGAACCCGAAACGCAACAGAAGGTCTGGAGAAAGAGAGGGACAATGTTGCTTTTAGTCGTAACAACGCGGAAGAAGAGGCTGGTCAACGGCCACACCAGCTAAAAAAAGGCAGACCCTTCTCGCTTCTGCGCGCTCATCTCAAGAGTGTCTTCGGAGGCGCAGCTCGTCGATACATCCTCTTCTATGATAGTATGTATGGCAGAGACTGGCTCCAGTACGCAGCCACGCTGAACCGCAAGCGCAGTCTTGAGAGGATCTTCAATTTATGACTGAGATTATAGCGTGCTTTGCAGTCTCAATACTTCCCAACACTTCCTTCTTCCATGTCTCAAGTTCACGTGGAGGCTTCCCACGTCTGTTGTCAAGTGCACCTCTAATGGCCACCACCATGGCGGATCTATTTTCTCGCAAAAACTACGAAGCCTTTAGTGCACGCCTTGTTACCGAAGCGGCACGATATCCATGTCCCGCCGAGAACGCCGACATGACAAGCAACCCTGACGTTGGGACGGAGAGAGCAGACCATATTCCTTCAACCCCACAAGTGAGCAAGACCATCGGCGCGCAACCCCCATTTCTTCCGAAGCCAGGAAGAGGATGCTGGGCATTGAGACATCATTTAAGCCCCTTCAGCATGTCGTACATGCAGTCGCTTCGCACGTCACAGTTGCCCTCGCTCCTAGTGTTCGAGAATGCACCCCTACGCGAAACAAACTGGCGCGCTTCGTATTCGCGGCGCTATTGGGATTCCCGGTACGTGGCTGGCGGTCACAGCGGAAGTGGAAGCTACGGGGAGGCGGGGCGCTGGAAGGCGGCCTTTTTGGATAGGTGGTTCAATTCGAAAGAGCCTAAACAGCCATCGGAAAAGCCTCTTACCTCAGTTCTTGAGCTCGGTGTTGGAGATGGTGCACAACTGCGACAGGCACAATACCCCTTTTGGATTCAGCGCTTTGTTGGGGTTGACGTCAGCCCGTTCGTGGTTCACCAAACACGAAGTGCCCTACTCGCCGACGGGCGCTACATCGTCTCCTCCAGGAATGAACCACCACCGCGCACTCGCACAGAAGATACAACTCAAAAGACTGCTGACATCAGCCTCGAAGGCGCCAAAGATGCGACAAATAAGGTCCGTCATGGGGCGCGCAATTATGCAGTCGACCTGCATAGTCCTCAAGGTCGAAGCGAAAACTTTCCTGAAATTCGTCGCCCATCAAGCGAAAACTTCCCTGAAAGCCAAGAGCAGAAAGCATATGTAGAGATCTATCACGACGCTGAATTCGCTCATGTTTTTCCGCTCAAGCCCATTGACGACGACCACGACGCTGAATTCGCTCATCTTTTTCCGCTCAAGCCCATTGACAAAGAGAGCGGGCCAAAAAATCCGACCTTGGAAGACGACGGCCGCTTCGACGTGACTCTAAGCATGGACGTTCTGTATCATCTGGTGGAGGACGACGTCTACAACTCTTACATCGCTGACCTCTTTGGCCGGGCACGACGATACGTTATCATATTCAAGCACACCGAGGAACACGCAGCGACACTGCTGCAAGATGGCGCTCTGCCTTCCACACCTGTCTCAGATCACCCTGTTTCACAAGAAGCTCCAAGCGCAACGGACCACTTGAAACCCGTTAGTGTGGCGCGCCTAGAGAGGCAGCACGTGCGCCAGCGAGCAGACTTGCCATACATTAGCAAGTTGTTCGGGAGTAGCTTCCACCTCGTTGAGGTCAGCGAGGCAAACCCCCTCGGCAAATGCAAGTTCTACATTTTTCAGCGTGTCAAGTGAAGACTGTTGTTTTGAATGAAAACAGAAGAGCACTCTGCGGAGATTCACACCGCCTCCGGAAAGGTCCAGGATTGGTAGTAATCGTAGAGAAGATGATAGTAATCGTAGAAGAAGATGAATTCGAGGATTGGTAGTAATCGTAGAGAAGATGATAGTGCAGCGTCATAACCAACTCCGCCGGTCTTATGACGGATTCAAATCAGGCCACAGATAAGAGACTTTATTTAACGAAACTATTGACGAGCGAAAAGCGTGATCAAGATCGGTTTTGATCCTACGAGAGGATCATCAAAGATATTGGTCAATGTGAACCTCAGACGGCTGGAGTACACTGTCATGAGAAGATAACCACGCTCGGAATTCTTTGATTGGGGATCAACCATATTGGGCTATGATTGCTTTTGATTACTTAACAGGAGGGCTCCTGGCCCTATCTCCCCGCACGGAATCGTTGGAAGTTGCACCGTACTTGTATCACAGTAGGATCTACGATCTAGAGAAATACGACTACATCTGCCCGGCGACAGTTCACCCCAATCACGCTCATTTCTTTGCCCTCCCAATCAGCTTCGAATCTTCGGGCCGCCGATCCGATAGCTCCGAAGCTGGGTTTACTCACCGATGGAACAAGTAGTCCTTGCGCACGTAATTGATCGACTTGCGCCCTGTGCCTGCCACCTCACTCTCCCAGGTCGAAACATTACGTTCCACTGGCTTCTCCACCTTTCCACCAGGCGCTTCTGCTTCCTCTTCCCTGAGAAGTGCGATGCCCCCAAGCATAGACCCTGCGGCGGCTCGCGTAGTAGGATTTTTCTACTCAACCAAGCGTGAATGACGCGTGTACTTAATCAATCTCCAAGTGCCGCAGGCAATACGTGATCAGCAACCAAGTGAGTAGGGCCTAGAAGTTAGTGAGAATTTGTAGGCACATTCTTGAATAAAAAAATAACGATCGCGAACAAGCTACCTTTCCAGATTCTTTTTTGCATGTGATGCCCTTCAAAATTGCACTTTCTTCTTTGATGAATAAAGATGATAAAAATGCAGACATTTCTTGCTACAAGAGCATGTGAAGGCCACGCTCCACGCTTGTGGAGCCACTAACCTGACTACTGGGAGAGCCGCTTCTGACGTAAATCCTTTCCGCTTACTGTGGTCATTGTCTGTGCAGCGCGCCTCACCTACCATGCGCCCAGTATCTGAGGGATAGGCAGGCCGGCAGTTCTCAATCAAGTAACTGTAAGCTAAGCAGCCCTCCACGCTCCAGACCACTTTTCGCTCATCCCGTGATCACTCTCAAGACCTACTCCTGGCATCCAAGACTTACTCCTGGGATCATGTCGGTCACACTGAAGACCTCCTTGGGGGAGCTGAAGTATAAATAAGGACTATATTAGTGCTGGGGCAAAGTTTTGACAGTATCCACTTTCATTCTTCGAGAGGCGCGTTCTGCAGCACTTCTCTTCAACATGCTTTGAGGGCTATAATATAGCCACTCACTGCTATATATGATATCGATATCCCTTTTCCTTCCTACTGATGTTGGTCCTGAATATCTGCAGTCTTAAGTTGCCGCGCGGCAGCTACACCTTGCTCGGCTGCCAGATCATCCTGCTCCCAAAAACTTAATCCTCTAATATCGTCCTCTAATGATCGCGGGAAAGTGCCAAAAGCATGCAAGAACTTTCTTGCACTTTGCGCTAGCGACAACTACACGGGAAAAACCTTTCACCGGAAGAACGTCAAGCAGTTTATAATACAAGGCACTACCTTAAAAGTACGTCATTGTCTAATGTCCTCTTCATCTACTTGTGACTTTTTTTTTTGTCTAATGTCCTCTTATATGCTTGTCGCCAAAAAAGGATGAATCCATTCACTCTCTCATTACTGAAAAACATCTTCGACAAAAGCCTCCGTAGTTCTATGATCACTGTAAACCAAGGCGGTGACAGTCGTTTACATCGTCTATGCTTTCGTATTCATCCACCCGTCCATTCCCGTGACATCTTCAGGCGGTGACACAGAAAGAGCGAATGGGAAAGGAGGTAAGGCGTGGAGAGGTGAAGCCGGCTATTTGGAGCACGAGATAGGGCCCGAGTTGAAACACGACCGACGTGGGGTTGTAGCTTTCGCAGAGACAGGGAAAACGCAAAAAACTGGCTCGCAGTTCTACCTCACCTATAATTATGATAAAAAAAAGATCACGATCAGATCAAGAATTATTATGCCCTTTGTTGTACGTACGACATCAAGTAAACTTTTACCCCTTATTACTGCAGATGCGAAACAAACGAAAACAAGCGCCTCATATTTACACGAAACTTTACACGATGATGAAGTCCTTGCAACTTCTAGACACATCACTGCTATGCAATCGAATGCATGCGTCTTCCTCTTCCATCCTAGCCAGATCCCACATCATCTTCCATCCCAAATCCTCCCTTTTTCTCCCTTTTCCTTGTTCATAAAGAGCGGCTCGGCAATTTGGCGACGAAAAGAAAGCAAGACCGATAAATTAAGGCTTTTTACCTCATATGGAGCTTAAGTTGTAGTACTAGAAGATGTTGTAGATGCAAATACGTACTTCACGATGTGTGTGGTAGTAGTACTACACTATGTGTGTGGTAACGGTACTACAACAAGATGCGTGTGGTAGCAGTACTACCAGATGTGTGTGGTACAACTAGCACAGCTGTTTTTGGGAGAGACAGTCCTTCTCAAGCTCAAGTTTAGCAGAGATTACACATGCTCGCGGTGATCATGTGCAGGCACTTAATTCAGTCGCTTTTTAGATTTTGTTTGATAGAAACTAGAAGCGCTGGATATTGTCTTGACTTCTAATCTGCTCTAAAAATTCAAGGATATCGTTATCGAAGCTGTGGAAATTCACGCAAACCCTATCGCGGATGAAGAGGGGCACTAGAAGCGTCTGAAGGGCGCTAGAAGCGCTTGGAGGGCATAAGCGGCGATATCAGGTGGAAGAGCGTCACTCTGGGAGGAAACACGACCTCGAGGCCTATCACGCGCCACGAGAGAAGACATGCCTACCTGTGAAATCATACTCGTTTCACAAGTTCCATTCTGCTTGTCTAACTGCCGTTCAAATTGCTACCATTGAAGATGCCGTGTTGAGAAACGCACCAACGAAAAACTTGATCTTGGCTTTTACATCTTCAACTCCCCCTCCCTTACCCGCTTCAGACTCACCCCATGACCCATGACTCTTGATCTGCTCTAAGAAGCGACGTCATTCATCCATGTAGAAGCCGTTTCTGCGGATGCTATGAAACAGACCGCGATAAATTACTTTTGGTGGCTGCTGTAATTGTGGCTGCGTGGCTGCAATGCCTCGCTGTTCGCAGTTCTTGAAAAGTTTCGTTTGCGAGTTCGCGAAATCTTGATAGATACTAGTCACGCATCATTGTTCGCAAAGCCTTGCTATTGTACTTTTACGATGTGGGATAGCAAAATATGTTGTAGATAGAGAAGAGGCGCCACGTCGGTGCATGATCTTTCTTGCCCATGAAGTGTACGACTTCTTTGCGCCGGCCACAGCTGATGCGTCTGCTCGTTGGCCGAAGCCATTGAAATTGAAAAGAAACGAAATGCAGTCGTGTTGTCGTTCCCCACAACGTTGCTGCCCCCTAGAACTGCACTTGATCCCCTAAACGCTGATCCCCAACTGGTCAAAGAGTGCCTGAACGCTGTACATCATTGGCACTAAGGGGTCTCACTCTGCTTGGACACTAAACTTCATCGGCGCTAGGAACACTATCGATCACCCGTTAGAAACATGTTTGGGCCCTGGAAGTCAACTAGTCCTCCTGTGGCGGCACATTCTCTGTAGAGTGGAGAACTGCTTGCTCCCTGTAAGTATGGAACCCAGCATACATCCTCGTCCGAAGTTGCCAAAAAAAAACTCATGGATAGTCCATCGCAAAACAGTCTGCCTGCAAAAAAAACCTCTTTTTTTTTCGCTCTTTGGGTCTTTACACCTGTAAATAAGCTGGCCCATCCTATGGAGGCACACTGTCTGCATAGTGGGAAAATGCGTGGGCCCTCTATTGAGCCCATACATCCTCGGCCGTCCATTGCGAACCGGTCTGCTTGTAAAAAAAACTCTTCAAGTGTCCAGCAGGAACCCACTTGCGCGCTTGCTTGCACCCCTGCCAGGCCTGGAGGATAAGGTGTAAAGACCCAAAGAGCACACCTCTCTCTTTTTTCGCTCTTTGGGTCTTTACACCTTATCCTCCAGGCCTGGCATAGTGTAGATACGAAGCACCTCTTACAATCTTGGCATGGTGTGGTTGTTTGTGGCACTAGAACGAGGGCTGACCCTTCGTTCGTGGCACTAGAACGACTGCTGACCCTTCTTTTTCATGCTTGTCCACTAGCGCCCCGACATCTCCGCCCACTGCTTCATGGTTGTTCACTACAGCATCGACACCTCCGCCCGCTGCTTCATGGTTGCGCGAAGGCCAAGTCGGGCTTATGAAAGTGCAGCACGAAGTGTTTGAGGGCATGGCGCTCACACGGCAAGGCTGAGTGGTGCCTCGGCGCTCTTTGCTTCGTGCTTGCGAGCTCCTTAGCTTTCTAGCCTTCCAGGGTCAAAGAACGTGAAGGGTTCCTCTGTCGAATTGTCTTTTCCGCTGGTGACCCACCAAAGCGCACGGGCGTGTGTGACCTCCCCGGACGTATAAGGGCGTCGGACGAGACGAGGCGCAGCGGTCGCACCATCGGCGTGCAGTCGGATCATGCCGGCCTCGGCGCCCGGGCGCAGAAGTCATTCGATGGAATGACGTGCGCGAGCTCGTTTGCGCATTCGCCTGCTTCCTCACCGCCAAAAGACTTGGGTTTACGGCGTCCTCCCGGCATTTTGAGCACTGGCGACGGGTCGAAAGACAACGAGGTCCACCTAATGCCCCCCACACGTCTAGAGCGGGAAGCGGAGCTCCCAGCGTCTCCTTCCGGCGAAGGCGCTACACCACTCGCGTCCACATTCCTAACGGAGTGGGAGGAAAATTTCCTGGCCGATAAGGGCGCGCGATTCGCCCCAGATATGGCACACCACGACTCTTTCTCTGTTGTGTGCACGCTCCTTACATAATTCATTTTGATTAGTGCATAGGCCAGAATGAGTCGAGCTAGCGCTCGCTAACAGCGTTTCGGACAAGCAAAGCGTAACGCACGACATTATAGTACAGAAGCAAGCCCTTATCAAGGAGAATCTGAAGCGCTACTCCGCTCATCTAGCAACATGCAAGACCGATTATGAGCGCAGCTTCATGCGAACGATGCTGATGACGCCGGCCGATGCCCTCTCTGAGAAGCAGCGCACGTACTTCAGCAAACTTCAGCGCCGTGTGGACGAGATGCACCAACGCAAGGCACCCAGCGAGGCGGGCGCTCCCGCAACTAGCGTAGAGGGACGACGCAGCCCCGGGTCTGCGGCGTCAATCGCTGAGGTGGCGTGCGGACAAGAGGCCTCCAAAACGGCGAGGAGACTGGCGCAGAACCAGGAGAAGCACCCCGAGTAAATGGCGAGGCAGATAGCTACGCAGCTAGCATAGCACCACCCGCTGCGCATCAATATCTTACTCAATACGAGCAAGACTTCATTGAGGATAAGGAGCCGCATTGGGAACCCGTTATGCGACTCGACTGCGCCTAGATTTGCTTATCTTCCACGTTCTCCACCTTGCCAATCTATAGAACATTCCGTGACATTTTCCCTGCGATCCTTATCGTTTTTACTCCCTACGCCGCACGAGGTGGGAACTTGTAAAAGATCCTGGGACATTTTCCCCGTGGGCCTTATCGTCTGTAGCTAACCTCTCGGGTGTGACAGCGATTGCTCGGCTGTCAGGGCGGCCGCATGTTGCGACCAATGCTTCCGCTTGGGTTCCTCCCTCGGTAAGCGCGCAGTCTGCTTCCGCGATACCAGCCACCGTGTCTGCGAAGTACCTCTCCCTCCCCGGTGTCCTCGTGAGCATGTGGGGGACCCCGCCCCGGGTAGTGGCGTGTCCGGCTTTCCAATAGACTCCCGCTCCCCCCTTTTTCTTACAGTCAACGAAAAGAGTTTTTCTGTTCCGTGTAATGAATCTGAAAAAGTGCAGCGTTAACTAGTTGCCGGCCTTTATACCCCACAACTTTCAGATCTCTATGAAGCGAAAGCTGTGGGCCCCTACCCCTACAAGATCAGAATATCGACGCAGAGGCTCGCTATCCGGACAGAAAATCGACTCAACAAAATATATCCATGCAATACTACACGTGAGTAAAAGGCTCATAATTAATCGGGGTCCACTCTTTTCATATCTCCTACGGAGAAGCAGACTGCGGCTGTTTCGAAAATGCGCGCAAAGATTGCGACCATTCAAAAGAACCTAGCGACGCATGCGGAACTTCTCAGCAAGGATCACGGCGATTATGATGCCGCATTTTTGAACACGATCATGGGCTTGCCAGCCGATCGTCTAACGGCAAAACAGCGCGCATACCTACCCATGATGCAGAGCGGCAAAGCCTTCAAGCGTCGCCGGACCGAAAGCCGAGAAAAGGACAACGCGGCGGCGCGGCCGGAACTAGGCGGCACCCATGAGCCTCCGCGCGTCCAGGGTGACACCGCTCACACAACTGGCGCACGCGCCAGAGCGTCCGTGGATCAGCCAGACGCCAATGCGCTACCGGACGAGCGCTCCCCGGAAAACCTCCCCTCGGCTCCTGCAAGTGGTGCAGAAAATGGCGGCGGAAAGAACTCAGAACTAGAGCAGGAACCAGCTTCAAAAATTGGCGGGGGGGAGCCTCGCCGACGGCATCAGCCCACCCACCCGCCTCTCCGAGCGAGATTTCTTCGCAGACAAGATGCCGCACCCGCAACCAGTTACGCGCCCCTTGTAGCTGTACTTTTTTCATGGACTTCAACCAGGTAGCTGCGAATTCGTAGGTAACCACCTTGCATCTTACCCGTGCTCATTACTTTTTTTAGTGAACGCCCAGGAGGCCCCTCTCTTTTCATGTCCGACACGAATGTGACACAGTGCGCACGCTCAACGGATACGGCCGATTGTGCTGGCGCAGAACCCTTCGTGGACGCAAGCCTGGCAGAAGGTCTCCTGCGCAAGCTTGCTGGTGAGGACGACAGCACGAAACTGGAGAAAGCGACAGAGCGGTCAACCGGCGAGGGGGACAGCTACGCAGAAAGCATCTGTACGCCCGAAGTCCATCAATATCTTTCCCAATACGAACAAGGATTTCTTGAGGACAAGGAACCGCTCTGGGAACCTGTTATGAGTGCTCGCGATTATTATTCTTAGACTAACTCTCTCCCTGTGAATCTGTAGAGAATCATTTGACACTTTTTCCGTGACCCTCATCGTATTTAGCAAAACTCGCACCCCCCTCTTTTCATATTTCTTTCGGACAAGCAAGCTGCCACTGTTAGGCAAATACGAGCAAAGATTGTGACTATTCAGAAGAACTTAGCGATGCATGCGGAACTTCTCCGCAAGGACCACGACGAGTATGATGCCGCAGTTTTGAACACGATTATGGGCTTGGCAGCCGACCGCCTGTCGGCAAAACAGCGCGCATACTTAGCCGTGATGCAGGGCGGCAAAGCTCTCAAGCGTCGCCGGACCGAAAGCCGAGAAAAAGGACAACGCGGCGGCGTGGCCAGAACTAGGCGGCACCCATGAGCCTCCGTGCGTCCAGGGTGACATAGCTCACACAACTGGCGCACGCGCCAGAGCGTCCGTCGATCACCCAGACAGAAATGCGCTGCCTGACGAACGCTCCCTGAAAAACCTCCCCTCGGCTCCTGCGGATGGTCCAAAAAATGGCGGAGGAGAAAGCCCAGAACTAGAGGAAGAACCAGCCCCAAAAAGTGGCGAGCAGGACAGCCTCGCCGGCAGCATCTGCTCACCTGCTGCGTAGAAGTACTCACGCCTCTCCGAGCGAGATTTCTTAGCATTATACGATCCGCCGCACTGGGAAACACTTATGACTCCGCGTCTAGGAGTACTCTTTTCTTGTATTTCAACTATTTAGCTGCGAAATCGTAGATAGCCACCTCTCATCTTCCCCGCACTCCTTACTCGTTTGAGTGAATCCCAAGGACGCCCTTCTCCTTTCATGTCCAACACGCATGAGACACCGAGCGGACGCTCAACAGATTCGGCCGATTGTGCTGGCGCAGAGTCCTTCGTGGACGCAAGCCCGGCAGAAGATCTCGCGCACACGCTTGCGGATGGCCCACAGCGTGGCGCAGACGACGGCACAAAAGTGGAGAAAGAAGCAGAGCGGCCAACTGGCAAGGGGGACAGCTACGCAGGAAGCATCTGTACGCCCGCTGTGCATCAGTCTCTTTCCCAATACGAGCAAGACTTTCTTGAGGACAAGGAGCCGCACTGGGAACCTGTTCAGAGTGCTCTCGGCTAGTGTCCTTAGCCCTGTGCTTAACTGGTGAGTCTGTAGAGAATCGCTTGGCGCTTTTTCTGTGGTCCTTATCGTATACATAGAGCCCAACTCGGGCCCCCCTCTTTTCATATTTCTTACGGACAAGCAGGCTGCCGCCCTTTCGAAAATACGAGCAAAAATTGACACTATTCAGAAGAACTTAGCGACATACGCGGAGCTTCTCGACAAGGATAACGGCGATTATGATGCTGCATTTTTGAACACGGTCATAGGACTGCCAGTCGACCGGCTGTCGCCAAAACAGCGCGCATACCTAATCGTGCGGCAGCGCGGCAAAGCTCTCAAGCGTCGTCGGACCGAAAGCCGAGAAAAAGCAAACGCCGCGGCGCGGGCGGAATCAGGCGGCCCCGACAAGGTCTCGCGCGTCACGGCTAGCGTGGTTGACTATACTGGAGAAGCAAGCGCGGCGGCCCCATCGGAATCAGCTGGCACTAACCAATTCTCGAGCGTCCCGGCCGCTGAGTCGAAAGCGGACGAAGGCCCTGTAGCAAGCCTCCCGACTGCCGAAGAATTCATGGCGCAACTTCTCACTGGCGAACACTGACCTAGCTCGAGTCTTTATCTGCGCCTCAGCGTATCCCATTGCACCCCCAAGCATTTTCTGCAAGCTTCTAACTTTTTGCGGACTCACTCGGCCGGTCGCGCTGGCAAAGACGTTGGCACTGTTAAGGCTTAAAGGACACCGTCTGAAGGTGCATCCTCGTTCCGCTTTGGAAGAAACCCGGGCGCCGCATACTCCCCAAGATGGCTTCTGCCAAGGTCTACGATTCAAAGTGGCGCGGCTCCTTCAGTGTGATCAACAACGCCCTACACGTTGCGCACGCTGCGGCTTGCGGGATGCGCGGCCGCCCCTCGACCGCGAAGTTAGGTCACCCCTTGCGCGTAGTGCCTGTCCCCGAAGATCGCCGACGCCTCGCCATCGGTGCCCACAATGCAGACCACGGCGGGCGGGAGCAGACTTTGAAAAATTTGCGGGACCGCCGGCAGCGGTGGCGGAGAGTCATCTCCGACGTTAAGTAAGCAGTGGGATCCTGTGAAATATTTACGAGGCAGCCGCCGTCTGCGTGCTCCCTTCTTGCACCTCCTCGCGCGCTCTTCTTCCGCGCCTCGGCCGGACGGGCGTGAGACTGCGCAGGACTTGGCACGCAGGGCGCCGGCCTCGAATCTTCGCCAGCGGATCACGAACAGAGCGCCGACGGCCGCCGCGTGCCGTTCCTCTTGCGCGAGCTCCTCTCTTTGGGCGGCGAAGTTTGCCACAAGGCTACGCGTGGACCTGATGGCAATGAAGACGCGCCCCGGCGGCTATCGATATGCCCTGGCTGTTGTGGAGTGGTTTCCCGCATATTCACTAACCGCTCCCCTGCGGAGAAAGCTCGCGGACGAAGTCGGGGCCGCTCTTGGCGACATCTGTCCCTTCATCGGCCTCCCGGGCGCGGTCGCTCGCGATAACGGCCAAGCGCTTGCGCGTCTGAAGGACTTCGCCAAGGGAAGAATCTAACGACCGCGCAGGACACTCCCAAACTATGGCGAAGGCTTTGCAACTAACAAGACGGCCGCCAATGCTCCGCGTTTGCGCGCTCCTTGGTTTCACTCCCCTCGCTTTCGGTCTAATCTCGGCGAACGGAACCGCGGAACGAGCTGTGGGCAAAATTAGGCGTGAGCCTACCAAACATCAGGCCGCAAAGGGAATCCCTGCAGAGCAGTGGCCTGAAGCTCTCAAGCCGGCCACCTTCAGGATAAACAACAGACGCTCGGAATGCGGCCGGGGAACGAGTCCGCGCGCCCTCATCTTCGGCCGACGGCTAACGCCCCCGACCGCATTTCGAACGGACACCGAAGGAGCCCGCGACCCTCCCGCCAACGATGAAGGCGCCGAATTCGTGAGCGATGTCCCGGGAAGTAGGGAGCTCGCAAACCTTGGTGAACCTCTTGCGAGCGTTGCGAGGGGCGCTGTCCAGACGCGCGAACCGTCTGCGAAAGGGCTGGCCGACTTTGCTGGCCGTCGTTTGGACCTGGCCGAGAAGTCCCGCGCGGCCACGGTCTTCAACGCGAAAAGAAACAGAGTGAGCGCAGTGGCCCCAGAAACACCAGGAGGGCGCTAGCCGTAAGCGGAGCCCCACCGCCGGCAGCATGGTCAAGCACGCACCGCGCCGGCGTCTTACGAAGGGAGGCGACCAAGGCCCTACCCCGTGCCGGCTCTTCGCGGCCTGCTGGGATTCGAGCCCGAGTGCTAGAAGATGAAGACACAAGCGCTACCGGCTCGACTACTTCGGGACGCAAGTGGTCGACTTCTGGACTTGCCTACTCAGTCTAAAGCCCAGCTTATGCAGTCAAACGGAATACTAGGGGTTTTCAATGGTCCCCGTGAAACTGATGCTAGACTTCTACCGATTTCCGCTACCTTGGTCTTTATATCTCAACAGGATGATGATAGGAATCGAACCTAGGTCTCAGCTACCGAAGACAAGAAACTTACGGATTGACTCAGAACAACAGCACAAGGCGTACGGAGCTGGATAGTGTTATGCGGATTGTGATGGGGGTTGCAAGGTGTTCACAGTTGAGCCGGCCACTCTGTCGGAAGTGGATTGGTAGTCTGTACTGCCTGACGCTTGGCCTTATAGGGCTCAAGGTCGTGCTTTCCTTGTGGAAGCGGTTGAGTTTGCAAATGTCAGAATGTGGGGCTCGAACCCACGACGTGCCAAACGGAGTCCGGCACGATAACCAACGGAGCTAAGCCACTGCAATGACGCAAGAGAGCAGAGGCCTCCTATATTCTGAAAATATGGCCAAGATGTGACCAGGTGCTTTAAATGGAGCCAACAAGCTTCGAACCCTCGACGCCACGACTTCACGGAACCACGGGGAGGCGTTAGACCATTGGCCCAACTTTACTATTTCAGCGGAGTGGTTGATGGTTATCAAGTCGTGAAATCTCATGAAGTCGCACGTTTTGGGCGTTTGTGTTCTTACCAGGAATAGAACCCGAATATTTCCAAATGATGAAGATCGCAGCTGATCTCGCTAACCACTACGCCAATCTGACTGCTTGAACATGCTGCACGATGATGACCATACCAAGAAAGGAACGCGATGGCTAAGAAGCGGAGAAGTAGATTTGCCAGCTGATAGGAATAGAGCCTTTAGGGCTTTCGTGTTTTCATGATGGCAGCCGAACGCGTTAACCACGGAGCCACTTCTACCTTCTCAGGATAACAAGGGCGCTGGCGCTATAAAACCAAGAAGGTGACTCACATGAAGCGGGCTACTTTCCTCAACTACGTACTAGCGATTTTGATCAAAATGGAGTGAGAACTACCAGCAGAGGACCAGAGGTTTTGGAGAGCATGCCGACTATCTCGTGACTGATGGCGTCGAGACTGGAACCGTCAAGATCTACTGCGATACTTTCAACATGTGAACGCCTTGACCATTAGACCAGATCAGCCGTTGAGCTGACGGGATCACAAGCTAGCTAATTTACGACTACAAAACTACTCACGACTCCCGCCGGCGTGTGGGCGAACAGAAGGCCAATGACGTGCGTGCCGGGCTACCGCTCCCGCCACTCCCCCTTCTGTCGCGCCGCGCCTGACGTGACTACTTCTAACTGAAGTAAGCCATCACAATAACGAAACACTCACGCAGTCGCACTTGCATCGCTTTTCGTAGGTCTTCACTGATTTTCCAAACTATTAACTGTGCGAGTCCGCTAGCAAAAAAGTATATGCCACAAAAATAGCCCACGCAGCCTGTCTCACGCTCGGATATTAAAACTGCCGCAAGCGCAGTCCCGCCATGCGCAAGTATGCGCATGAATTTCTTAGCCGTCATTTGTTCACAAGCTCCTTAGTCCCCTCCCCGTTCTTGCGTGTGCAGGTCCCCGCTTTGTGTAATCCTATGCCAGAGCACCTCGGGAGAATCTAGTCCGAAGCTATCACTTTTTCTCAGTACTGAACAGCCCAAACAATGGCATGTGACTTCACGGCCACCGCTTCACGCATATGACCACAACCGCGAAAATTGCGACTGCCTATGTGGCAGAACACGTTTCTGGCACCTTTGTGTTCTTCCGCGGCGACTGGTTCTAACATGATTCCAAGCCCCCCCATCATCGTCTTGTTGTGATATGAAAACCAAACTGGAGAAGCAAGGCACTTGGGAACTGACTACAAATGGCGAAGAAAATAGAACCATCGGCTAAGGCCTTGCTTCTGCTTTCCCGCACCCATGTTTGAAGCCTAGAGATGTCGGCTTTTTTGGAGAGCCTGCACCCAGAGGCGTCAAAGCTAGGAGAAAAGCCACCGGCTGCGCGTTTAGAAGGCTAGTCCGTAGGCGTTTTCTCTTTCTCTCATGGTCTTCGACGTTGCGCCCCCCCCTGTTTTGCTCTCTGTGCTGGCATCCTTTTTCGGTAGCGCGGTCGGCCTCTGCCAGCAATTTCCCCAGGCTCTGCTCGTAGTTTTACCCCCCTCAGCCTTCCCTCCTCCTTCTTTGCATCACTAACTTGCCCCCCTGAGCGCGTCCGCGTCACTCGACGACTTATCCCGCGCCCCTGCGTGGTTAGACCTCCTCCCCCATCCTTTCCGCCTCTGTTCGCCCGCACAAATGGTCCCGCCTCTGCTTCCCTGTTGCGATTGTCCCAGACCTTCGTGCCCGCTGTTTACGTGCATCCTCTTTGCTTGTCTTGCGTGCCCTTTTCTTTTTCCGCTCTCCTTCGCGTTTTTGCGTGGTTTTTTCGCTCTTTCGTTTTCTTGCTGCTTTCTGCTCCGTTTGTTCGCTTTTTCCGTTTGTCCCGTGCCGAGTTTGTTCTGTGACAGGCCTGCCAGGCCTGGCGAGACCGCTCGACGGGTCAGGCCTTGAAAGCCGCCGCACCCATGTCGGCTGCCATGCCTGACCTGCCGAGCGGTCTCGCCAGGTCTGGCAGGCCACTGAAAGACCACACCCCAGGCCACTTTGAGCCCATCTCACGCACCGAGAACACCGCGGCGCGGCTTAGCGAGCGCGAAACGGCCAGCAGCGCTTCCAAAGGGGCGCGAGGATGTCCTCGATGCGTAAGACCGACCCGAGGCACCCCTTGGAAGCCGCCGCATCCGTGTCGGCTGCCATGCCTGACCTGTCGAGCGGTCGCGCCAGGTCTGGCAGGTCACTGAAGGACCACACCGAGAGCGGCCCAGCGTAGTTTAGCGAGCGCAAAACGGCCAGCAGCGATGCCAAATGGGCGCGCGGAATGAGTAAATTTGTAAGATCGACCCGAGGAATGAGTAAATTTGTAACCGTAAACTCCCTAGCATCTGGCCGTTTTGTTCTTGTTCCTTGCCGCCTAAGGTAGCGGCACTAGTTCACAAGAATAGGCCACAGCTTTGGACGTTCACACTATTCGACGACTAGAAGACTACGCGACATCATCTACATACATCAACTGCCATTCTGGTCTAATGGTTAAGCCGTTCACATGATGAAAATATCGCAGTAGATCTTGAAGGTTCTATTCCTATCGTCTGCCAAATTTAATGCTCCGCTTCGTAGTCATCGTGTTCCTTTCTCGGTATGTTCATCATCGTGCATCATGTTCAGGCAGTAAGATTGGCGTAGTGGTTAGTGAGTTCAACTACGGCCGTCATGGTCTGAAAATAGGGTGGCTCTACTCCTGGTAAGAAAACAAATTTCCAAAACATGCATCTTCATGAGATTTCACGAGCTAATAACCATCAGCCATCCCAATGAAATACGAAAGTTGGCCCAATGGTTTAATCCCTCACCTTCGTTCCGTGAAGTCGTTGCATCGAAGGTTCGAATCTTGTTGGCTCCATTTAAAGCGCACCTGCTCACATCTTGGCCATATTTTCAGAATATAAGAAACTTCCGTTCTCCTGCATAACCGAAGCAAGCTGACTCAGTTGGTATTAGTACTGGACTCATTTTTTAGGCCAGGACTTTTCTCGTTGCACGACCTTACTTTTTTTTCAAAAATGCCGCCAGTGGCAAGGCCTGGCGAACTCCCCTACGCCTTGGACGCTGCGCGGCCGTGGGCCTTCGGCGCCGTCGATATCGACAGCGAAGCACCTCCCAAGGCGATCCGGCCCGCCATGAATGATGGCAAACCCCGACCAAACGGCGGAGCGAACCAAGGGGTACGCAAGACGGGTCCATTTTGAAAAAAAAGAGGCGACAAAAATGGGGGTCATTTTGCACCCCATTTTTGAAAATAAAACGCCGACACTTTTTTCGGCATTAAAGCGGCCCCCTTCCATGGGGCCTGGGGGGGTACAGCAGGCGACACTCCTGGGGCCAAAAGTGTCGCCTTTTGTACCCCCTCGCTTGGGGGGTCAAAGTGGCCCCTTTTTGCCACCCCTTTTGGCCCCCTCCCGAGCCTCCCAGACCAGAGCCTCCGAAGGGGGGCGGCCCCTCTGGGGACACCTCCGAAGCCCACTGGTTGCCATCCCAGACGAGGGGCTCCGGCTCAGCGGGTCCACTGCGAGGCTAGCTGAGTGGCGACGTCGGTCCATAGAGAATTGGGCCTCCTTAGGCTAGCCAAAAACGAAAAAAAAAATAAGGTCGTGCAACGAGAAAGTCCTGGCCTAAATTTTGGCACGCCGTGGGCTCGAGCCCCACATTCTGACATTTGCAAACCCAACCGTTTCCACAGGGAAAACACGACCTTGAGCCCTATAAGGCCAGGCGTCAGAAAGTACAGCCTACCAATAGACTTCGGACAAAATGGCCAATGCAAATGTGAACACCTTGCAACCTCCATCACCATCCGCATGAGATTTTCCAACTCCGTACGCCTTGTATTGTTGTGCTGAATCAATCCGTAAGCTCTTGTCTTCAGTCCCTGCGACTTCAGTTCAAGCCGTATCCTCATCCTGTTGAGGTCATGAAAACCAACGTCGAGA